GTAGTAGTAGTAGTAGTAGTAGTAGTAGTAGTAGTAGTAGTAGTAGTAGTAGTAGTAGTAGTAGTAGTAGTAGTAGTAGTAGTAGTAGTAGTAGTAGTAGTAGTAGTAGTAGTAGTAGTAGTAGTAGTAGTAGTAGTAGTAGTAGTAGTAGTAGTAGTAGTAGTAGTAGTAGTAGTAGTAGTAGTAGTAGTAGTAGTAGTAGTAGTAGTAGTAGTAGTAGTAGTAGTAGTAGTAGTAGTAGTAGTAGTAGTAGTAGTAGTAGTAGTAGTAGTAGTAGTAGTAGTAGTAGTAGTAGTAGTAGTAGTAGTAGTAGTAGTAGTAGTAGTAGTAGTAGTAGTAGTAGTAGTAGTAGTAGTAGTAGTAGTAGTAGTAGTAGTAGTAGTAGTAGTAGTAGTAGTAGTAGTAGTAGTAGTAGTAGTAGTAGTAGTAGTAGTAGTAGTAGTAGTAGTAGTAGTAGTAGTAGTAGTAGTAGTAGTAGTAGTAGTAGTAGTAGTAGTAGTAGTAGTAGTAGTAGTAGTAGTAGTAGTAGTAGTAGTAGTAGTAGTAGTAGTAGTAGTAGTAGTAGTAGTAGTAGTAGTAGTAGTAGTAGTAGTAGTAGTAGTAGTAGTAGTAGTAGTAGTAGTAGTAGTAGTAGTAGTAGTAGTAGTAGTAGTAGTAGTAGTAGTAGTAGTAGTAGTAGTAGTAGTAGTAGTAGTAGTAGTAGTAGTAGTAGTAGTAGTAGTAGTAGTAGTAGTAGTAGTAGTGTAGTAGTAGTAGTAGTAGTATAGTAGTAGTAGTAGTAGTAGTAGTAGTAGTAGTAGTAGTAGTAGTAGTAGTAGTAGTAGTAGTAGTAGTAGTAGTAGTAGTAGTAGTAGTAGTAGTAGTAGTAGTAGTAGTAGTAGTAGTAGTAGTAGTAGTAGTAGTAGTAGTAGTAGTAGTAGTAGTAGTAGTAGTAGTAGTAGTAGTAGTAGTAGTAGTAGTAGTAGTAGTAGTAGTAGTAGTAGTAGTAGTAGTAGTAGTAGTAGTAGTAGTAGTAGTAGTAGTAGTAGTAGTAGTAGTAGTAGTAGTAGTAGTAGTAGTAGTAGTAGTAGTAGTAGTAGTAGTAGTAGTAGTAGTAGTAGTAGTAGTAGTAGTAGTAGTAGTAGTAGTAGTAGTAGTAGTAGTAGTAGTAGTAGTAGTAGTAGTAGTAGTAGTAGTAGTAGTAGTAGTAGTAGTAGTAGTAGTAGTAGTAGTAGTAGTAGTAGTAGTAGTAGTAGTAGTAGTAGTAGTAGTAGTAGTAGTAGTAGTAGTAGTAGTAGTAGTAGTAGTAGTAGTAGTAGTAGTAGTAGTAGTAGTAGTAGTAGTAGTAGTAGTAGTAGTAGTAGTAGTAGTAGTAGTAGTAGTAGTAGTAGTAGTAGTAGTAGTAGTAGTAGTAGTAGTAGTAGTAGTAGTAGTAGTAGTAGTAGTAGTAGTAGTAGTAGTAGTAGTAGTAGTAGTAGTAGTAGTAGTAGTAGTAGTAGTAGTAGTAGTAGTAGTAGTAGTAGTAGTAGTAGTAGTAGTAGTAGTAGTAGTAGTAGTAGTAGTAGTAGTAGTAGTAGTAGTAGTAGTAGTAGTAGTAGTAGTAGTAGTAGTAGTAGTAGTAGTAGTAGTAGTAGTAGTAGTAGTAGTAGTAGTAGTAGTAGTAGTAGTAGTAGTAGTAGTAGTAGTAGTAGTAGTAGTAGTAGTAGTAGTAGTAGTAGTAGTAGTAGTAGTAGTAGTAGTAGTAGTAGTAGTAGTAGTAGTAGTAGTAGTAGTAGTAGTAGTAGTAGTAGTAGTAGTAGTAGTAGTAGTAGTAGTAGTAGTAGTAGTAGTAGTAGTAGTAGTAGTAGTAGTAGTAGTAGTAGTAGTAGTAGTAGTAGTAGTAGTAGTAGTAGTAGTAGTAGTAGTAGTAGTAGTAGTAGTAGTAGTAGTAGTAGTAGTAGTAGTAGTAGTAGTAGTAGTAGTAGTAGTAGTAGTAGTAGTAGTAGTAGTAGTAGTAGTAGTAGTAGTAGTAGTAGTAGTAGTAGTAGTAGTAGTAGTAGTAGTAGTAGTAGTAGTAGTAGTAGTAGTAGTAGTAGTAGTAGTAGTAGTAGTAGTAGTAGTAGTAGTAGTAGTAGTAGTAGTAGTAGTAGTAGTAGTAGTAGTAGTAGTAGTAGTAGTAGTAGTAGTAGTAGTAGTAGTAGTAGTAGTAGTAGTAGTAGTAGTAGTAGTAGTAGTAGTAGTAGTAGTAGTAGTAGTAGTAGTAGTAGTAGTAGTAGTAGTAGTAGTAGTAGTAGTAGTAGTAGTAGTAGTAGTAGTAGTAGTAGTAGTAGTAGTAGTAGTAGTAGTAGTAGTAGTAGTAGTAGTAGTAGTAGTAGTAGTAGTAGTAGTAGTAGTAGTAGTAGTAGTAGTAGTAGTAGTAGTAGTAGTAGTAGTAGTAGTAGTAGTAGTAGTAGTAGTAGTAGTAGTAGTAGTAGTAGTAGTAGTAGTAGTAGTAGTAGTAGTAGTAGTAGTAGTAGTAGTAGTAGTAGTAGTAGTAGTAGTAGTAGTAGTAGTAGTAGTAGTAGTAGTAGTAGTAGTAGTAGTAGTAGTAGTAGTAGTAGTAGTAGTAGTAGTAGTAGTAGTAGTAGTAGTAGTAGTAGTAGTAGTAGTAGTAGTAGTAGTAGTAGTAGTAGTAGTAGTAGTAGTAGTAGTAGTAGTAGTAGTAGTAGTAGTAGTAGTAGTAGTAGTAGTAGTAGTAGTAGTAGTAGTAGTAGTAGTAGTAGTAGTAGTAGTAGTAGTAGTAGTAGTAGTAGTAGTAGTAGTAGTAGTAGTAGTAGTAGTAGTAGTAGTAGTAGTAGTAGTAGTAGTAGTAGTAGTAGTAGTAGTAGTAGTAGTAGTAGTAGTAGTAGTAGTAGTAGTAGTAGTAGTAGTAGTAGTAGTAGTAGTAGTAGTAGTAGTAGTAGTAGTAGTAGTAGTAGTAGTAGTAGTAGTAGTAGTAGTAGTAGTAGTAGTAGTAGTAGTAGTAGTAGTAGTAGTAGTAGTAGTAGTAGTAGTAGTAGTAGTAGTAGTAGTAGTAGTAGTAGTAGTAGTAGTAGTAGTAGTAGTAGTAGTAGTAGTAGTAGTAGTAGTAGTAGTAGTAGTAGTAGTAGTAGTAGTAGTAGTAGTAGTAGTAGTAGTAGTAGTAGTAGTAGTAGTAGTAGTAGTAGTAGTAGTAGTAGTAGTAGTAGTAGTAGTAGTAGTAGTAGTAGTAGTAGTAGTAGTAGTAGTAGTAGTAGTAGTAGTAGTAGTAGTAGTAGTAGTAGTAGTAGTAGTAGTAGTAGTAGTAGTAGTAGTAGTAGTAGTAGTAGTAGTAGTAGTAGTAGTAGTAGTAGTAGTAGTAGTAGTAGTAGTAGTAGTAGTAGTAGTAGTAGTAGTAGTAGTAGTAGTAGTAGTAGTAGTAGTAGTAGTAGTAGTAGTAGTAGTAGTAGTAGTAGTAGTAGTAGTAGTAGTAGTAGTAGTAGTAGTAGTAGTAGTAGTAGTAGTAGTAGTAGTAGTAGTAGTAGTAGTAGTAGTAGTAGTGTAGTAGTAGTAGTAGTAGTAGTAGTAGTAGTAGTAGTAGTAGTAGTAGTAGTAGTAGTAGTAGTAGTAGTAGTAGTAGTAGTAGTAGTAGTAGTAGTAGTAGTAGTAGTAGTAGTAGTAGTAGTAGTAGTAGTAGTAGTAGTAGTAGTAGTAGTAGTAGTAGTAGTAGTAGTAGTAGTAGTAGTAGTAGTAGTAGTAGTAGTAGTAGTAGTAGTAGTAGTAGTAGTAGTAGTAGTAGTAGTAGTAGTAGTAGTAGTAGTAGTAGTAGTAGTAGTAGTAGTAGTAGTAGTAGTAGTAGTAGTAGTAGTAGTAGTAGTAGTAGTAGTAGTAGTAGTAGTAGTAGTAGTAGTAGTAGTAGTAGTAGTAGTAGTAGTAGTAGTAGTAGTAGTAGTAGTAGTAGTAGTAGTAGTAGTAGTAGTAGTAGTAGTAGTAGTAGTAGTAGTAGTAGTAGTAGTAGTAGTAGTAGTAGTAGTAGTAGTAGTAGTAGTAGTAGTAGTAGTAGTAGTAGTAGTAGTAGTAGTAGTAGTAGTAGTAGTAGTAGTAGTAGTAGTAGTAGTAGTAGTAGTAGTAGTAGTAGTAGTAGTAGTAGTAGTAGTAGTAGTAGTAGTAGTAGTAGTAGTAGTAGTAGTAGTAGTAGTAGTAGTAGTAGTAGTAGTAGTAGTAGTAGTAGTAGTAGTAGTAGTAGTAGTAGTAGTAGTAGTAGTAGTAGTAGTAGTAGTAGTAGTAGTAGTAGTAGTTTGTTTTCGCCACCAGTGGACAGTGTGCTCCCGAATGTGGCATCTTCCTCAAGACCCTCGCAACACAATTGCACCATAAGAACTCGGACATACCGTATCGTCTCATCATCAGCCACTTGCGCTCGAGAATCAGTCTATCTCTGATGCGGTGGCAGATTACTTGCTTCCGGGGGTCACGTGCATCATACCTACGCAGTGGATCCGGCATTGGCCGACATTGCTTTGTAACGGAGTGCCGTACATTGGCTCATATGCCGCGCTGACGGGCATCAATGGACTTGCCATAATATTGTCATTGGTTTCATTCTGTCTCAGAGTGTTCTGTTGTATTTGTTTTCGTTTTAAAAGCGTTTGAGCGGTTGGGTGAATGGAAACGTCACCGTACTGGTAGTAGCGATGCTTGGATGGTGTTTGCGGGTTTGCTCTTTGTTTTTGTATTCCCTAGTTGGCTTGATTCTTTTATTTTATTTTATTTTCTGATTGGATTTTCCTATTTATTTGATTTGATTTTTCTTGAATGGTTTTGTCACCATTGCTTTTCTTGCTTGCGCTTTTCAGTTTCTTCTTTCTGATACCCGGTTTGTTTTCAAATAAAGGCGAAGTTCAGTAGTAGTAGTAGTAGTAGTAGTAGTAGTAGTAGTAGTAGTAGTAGTAGTAGTAGTAGTAGTAGTAGTAGTAGTAGTAGTAGTAGTAGTAGTAGTGGCGGCGTGTTTGTGTGTTCATCCGAGTGACTTGATTTGATTCTTGCCTCTAGACATAAACTGTTCTAAGCACTCGCAGCCTCCATTGCAGCCTTTTTTTCTTTCCCTTTTTTCTTGGAACACAGCCCTACAAAGCGGCATGTGGAGACAAACACAAAACAAGCCTTTTACACATTACACATTAGGATACCTCCACGCAAACACTCGAAATACAGTTTCTTTCCTGCGTACGTCATCAACTTTTCACCAAATTTTCAGGCATGGCCCATCCTCAGGTGAAAAACAGAAAAAAACGACACATACCGCTAGTATTAGAGACTGCGCTAGTAATGGAGACCTGCGCTTATAATAGAGAATATACGGTATACAATACTGGCGGTTGCCGGAAGAACTTGGGGGTCAGCGTGACTTGATACGAATGACTGCACTGTCTGTGTGCCGCACTAGTTTTGTGTGTATATGCTGACAATGCAGTTTTCCGTGCTCGACAGCGTGCGTTCGTCACTTGGTGTCGTTCTCGGATGCGCCGATGTTGATCAATCGATGAAGAACGACGTCACCGAAATGTCTAAATAATGGTCCAGCTCCGACGTGCATGATGTTCTGGTGTACGGGTGTTTGTAAATTGGCTTGTTCGTCACTTTTCTGCTGCTATTGTTCTTACTGTTGTTGTTCTGGTGCAGCAATGGCGATTGTTCCCACCGCTGGCAGGATCCATTGTCCTTAACCACTTCAGTACTGCACTGTTCAGGCAGTTAGTCCGCCTGCGTATGGCAATGATGACTGGTGACAAAAGTGAGGAGATTGTAAGTCGCGGAGTCGAATGCCGTGTTTGCTACGATGTGTGTTGATGCCGTTTGTTCGCGTTTTGATTATCGTGAGTGGTGTGTTTGTGCATGTGTGTGTGTGTGGGCACGTGAGCATGCATGCATGTGTTGGGTGGGGGGGGGGGGGGGGGGGGTGAATTGTGCACATACACATGTACATGTACCGTGTACTGTATGCGTATGTAATCCCGCGCATCACCGGGAAAGGGCCAAGCTAGGCGCTAACTTGCTAACCCGTCACCAAATGAGCAAGGTGAATAGTCTGTTTGTCCACTCCCAAGAACCATTTTGTTCCTGTAGAGTGGCTTCCCCTCTATCACATAGCCATACGGGACAGCCATGTTGGTTCCAACTCCACTCAACCCCTGGATCCATGGGTCACATCATGTCGGCCATGTTGGTTCCACTGTCCACATGCCATGATCACTTTTTGCACAAATTTAGTCAAATGACTACCGGTATTAAAGATGTAAAACCACCCTATATCCACCTTTAATACTGTATAGCAGGAAATTTTCGGACGGAATTTATTTTCGTATGGTTTCGTACACGGCCTCTTTTGTACTAAAATTAATTCCGTACTAAAATTTGTTCATGTGAAATTATGTACACTATACATGCGCACTGCATGCGAACACGTGTATTTAGCATGTAGCACTGTACGAAAATAACATCCGTAAGAAGTTCGGCTTTGTCCGAAAATTTCCTGCTATTATCTCACAGCTCTTACACGGCTACGTGTGCACGTCATGAGCTTGTGCCCTGTAGCCTATTGCTGGAGGCTAGTTTCGTCTCGGTGCTACTAGTACTTGTCCTAATGCTGCTTTTTCTTTCTTGTGTGTGTGGGTGTGGGTGTGTGTTTCTCAGTCGGAGCTTGGCCGTGAGATTCACGCACTGTCATCGGCGTCCAAGCCACTGTCTTCGTGGACGGCTCGTGACGCCATCCAGGAGTGCCGTGAGGCGTGCGGTGGTCACGGCTACTTGGCTGGTGAGTGAGATGAGCCCGTGTGTGTGTGTCCGTACGTGTGTGTGCGGGTGACGGTGTCCTTGTTCCATGAGATAGTAATCTCTCTCTCTCTCCTCTCTCTCTCACTCTCTCTCTCTCTCTCTCTCTCTCTCTCGTTTTTGGTGCGTCTTGACTCTTGAGTCTCCCCTTTCTGAACAACCCAATCGTCTGTTTCTCGTCTCTTCCCGCTGTCCTTCAGTGAATCGTATCGGAGCACTGCGTGACGACAACGACCCTAACTGTACGTACGAGGGCGACAACAACGTCCTGCTGCAGCAGACCAGCAACTACCTGCTGGGAATGTACGACGAAATCAGAGCGGGTAAGGCGCTTGGCAGTGTTCGCTGCTGTCCGCTGTTCTGCAGTCTGGTGTTCGCTGCTGTCCGCTGTTCTGCAGTCTGGTGTTCTGCTGTCCGCTGTTCTGCAGTCTGGTGTTCTGCTGTCCGCTGTTCTGCAGTCTGGTGTTCTGCTGTCCGCTGTTCTGCAGTCTGGTGTTCTGCTGTCCGCTGTTCTGCAGTCTGGTGTTCTGCTGTCCGCTGTTCTGCAGTCTGGTGTTCTGCTGTCCGCTGTTCTGCAGTCTGGTGTTCTGCTGTCCGCTGTTCTGCAGTCTGGTGTTCTGCTGTCCGCTGTTCTGCAGTCTGGTGTTCTGCTGTCCGCTGTTCTGCAGTCTGGTGTTCTGCTGTCCGCTGTTCTGCAGTCTGGTGTTCTGCTGTCCGCTGTTCTGCAGTCTGGTGTTCTGCTGTCCGCTGTTCTGCAGTCTGGTGTTCTGCTGTCCGCTGTTCTGCAGTCTGGTGTCAGTGTACTTGCCCTTATTGTCACTGCCAGGACTACACTGCTACTGGGGATGGTAACCCCGAAGAGTGTTCAACTCCAGTCACACACACACGCGCACCCACGCGCGCGCGCGCACACACATGCACCCACACATGCACACACACACACACACACACACACACACACACACACACACACATGCACACACGCACACACACACCGGTGTTCTAGCTCTAGAGGAGAGAATGAATAGCATACGAGTAGCGTTTCTTGAGTTGACGATGGATTTTTTCTCTCTCGTTAAAACGCTTAACTTTGTGACCCGCTAGATACTCAACTCCAACACTGTGTACTCTTGTCACCACTCATGTTTGCTCATATTGTTTGTCTGCACACTCATGTTGTTGTTGTTGTTGTTGTTGTTGTTGTTGTTGTTGTTGTTGTTGTTGTTGTTGTTGTTGTTGTTGTTGTTGTTGTTGTTGTTGTTGTTGTTGTTGTTTCAAATCTTTCAAATCTTTATTCTCACGATAGCCAGTGGCCAATAAGAGATAATAGTGTAAGAAAGGAGAAAGAGTGAGGAAGAATTGGGTGGGCAGGGCCTAGGGGTTAATGACTACTTAAGTGTACGGGCAGGGGTGGTCGCCACACGAGCATACAGAGTTGCGTACTTAAGTGTACGGGCAGGGGTGGTCGCTACACGAGCATACAGAGTTGTGCAACAGCAGGGATATCTCGGATTTGAAGGGAGTACGAGAAGGGATTTCGCGAAGCTGAGTGGGCAGGCAATTAAAGTAATGAAGGGCCTTGTACAGGGGAGAATGGAGACAGCGGTCAGTCCGCGGAGTTGGCAAGTGCCAAGTACGAGAGCGACGTAAATTATACGAAGGTTGCACGTTGCTAGCAGTATGCAGCGAGAGTATATGTGGTGGGGCATAATTGTGGCGCAGAGAATGCGCGAAGAGTATATGTTTAACTTTAAAGCGTGAAAATAATGTTGGCCATTTGATGCGATGCAAAAGGTGGGAGTGTTCTAAGTGTGTGTAAAGGGGAAGGTGGAGATATATTCTGGCGGCTTTCCGCTGGAGTCGTTCTAGCCTGTCAAGGGAAGTGTGGGACAACGGTGTGAGAGCATTGCTCGCATATGAGAATATAGGTAGTATGTATGTCTGATAGATGTGAGATAAAGAATCACTGGTGAGTGTAGACCTTAGTCTAAAAAGAATATTGAAAGACTTGAGTGATTTTTTGACTATGTATTCAACATGCTCCGTCCAACGGAGGTCATGCTGAAAGATTATTCCGAGGTGTTTGTGTTTTTGTGCTACGGTAAGCGGACTATTCCTGAGGGTTATCGTTGTTGTTGTTGTTGTTGTTGTTGTTGTTGTTGTTGTTGTTGTTGTTGTTGTTGCAAATCTTTATTCTCACGATAGTTGTTGTTGTTGTTGTTGTTGTTGTTGTTGTTGTTGTTGTTGTTGTTTGAATTGTTTGTTCGAATTCCCCCCCCCCCCCCCCCCCCCGAATTCCTACTCTTCTTTATTCTCGCGATTGTTGTTGTTGTTGTTGTTGTCTATCCCCCGTCACTGTGATGACAGGCCGTTCTGTGTCGTCGCCGGCACATTCCGTCGACTTCCTCAACAACATGTCGGCAATCGAGCGCACGCACTTTGCACCTCAGTCGGTGAACGACTGCCGGCGCGGTGATGGTAAGGCTCCCGTTGCAGACCGTACACTGTGCATGCCACATGTTGCGTACATTGCAGACCGTGCATGTCGCATGTTGCTGACACTACTGTGTAAAGTGGAGTTTTCGGTGTAACTTAAATTTTGGTAATCTCCGTAGAGAAACCATACCCCTAGATATAGATATGAGGGGAATGCTATCCATACACCTTCACAACACTACAAACGGTCTCTGGGCTACCCCAATCGCGGAAAGAGAAAGCAGGGGCGTCGCACACGGTACGGTCACTACGGTATTGACCGTACCACTATTTGCCCCAAGTACCCCGTGAATCAATAAAATGCACTGATTTGGGCTCTAAATTTCCAAAATTCTCGGCTCAGCCATTCCTCCACCACGAATAAATTGTACAGTAGGTATCGGTTATAGGGTGGGTGTTTGAAATACGACTTTCTATTCTTATTTCCGATATTTCTTACACACGATAAATCAAGTCTGGCATATCACATGCATGTGCGCAGAGGCAGGAAGATCATCGTACATGCAACATAGTACTTCTGTGCATGTGGTTGGTCATAGTCCCATAAGCTTACCATGTGGCTATGCAAAATGAGTTACATGATCACAACAGTTGAATCTGCAGCGCTACGGCGCAACGAGAGTCAGATCAGAACGGAATTGGACAGATGCTATTACTACAGGCGATATACACTTTGTACTAATCTGGCATGTTTCGCTACACAAGGTCCATTCTTAGGACCGATATATTCTACTATGGGATAAAATTGCTTGTAAGAATAAATGTGCACTTGAAATCCATGTTATGATTGTGAAAACATGAGAGTTCATTCTTGTAGGCAGTATATTCTTTTACACGACCACACTATAACCGATACGCACTGTACTTCAGATGGCTGACCGTACCACACTAAAATACCTTCCGACGCCCCTGTAAAGACATAATCATTCGAGTTGTCAGGCATGGCCCATCTTCCTGAACGATGTATGGATGTACAGTGGATGGTTACAGTGGAGTCTACGCATATTGAGAAGTGAAGGGAATACTGGTCACCGAATTCTTAGGTTGTACAGCTTTCCCTGATGAGCCCCCCCCCCCCCCCCCCCCCCGGGTGAAAATTTGGAATTTGGAAACAATTACTGTACGTGGTCGATGTAGCCAAGGACTGTTGGTTTGTTGCGGATTGGAGGTGAAGTAAAAGATGTACAGCTTTGGTGTAACATTTCCCGTGTTCATCCGTTACTGCCGTCACACTCCTGTGATGTGTTCTGCAGTGATCGTCAAGGCGTACGAATGGCTCGTCTGCTTCTTGCTCAAGGAGAGTCACGTCAAGATGACCGCGCAGCTGCGCAAGGGAAAGGTGAGCCAAGCTGGCGGAAGGGGTCGCTCAGACGTCGTGTCTCCCATTGTGCTCGCTCTACCCCTACCCCAGAGGGAGATCTTGATACTTCTGTGTCCTAAGAATGACAATCCATGTACAACTGTCATTTCTGTACACTTTTTGTGCTATGAGATACATCTCGCTGCAGGAAACACATGCGCACGCACTCCCAACGTACGAAAGAATAATGGCTGCGAGTGCAGGTTTCACAGAAGTGCTAGAATGAAAATGTTGTGATACTTTTTCTAATTTTCCACGGTACGTGCAGTCGCAGCTCAGGTGATCCTTGCCTTGCACGGCATATAAAGTGGAACTCAACATGAAATTTGCCAATGTACGTCTGTTTGTTGCAGAATGCCTTTGAAGCCCGCAACGACAGTCAGGCGTACTACTGCCGCTCTCTGGCGTTTGCGTACATTGAGGTAGGTGCGGCCTGCTTTGTCTCTTCACTCTGTGTGTGTGTGTGTGTGTGTGTATCACTGTGTGTGTATGTGTGTGTGTGTGTGTGTGTGTGTGTGTGTGTGTGTGTGTGTGTGTGTGTGTGTGTGTGTGTGTGTGTGTGTGTGTGTGTGTGTGCGTGTGTGTGTGTGTATCACTGTGTGTCACTGTGTGTGTATGTGCGTGTGTGCGTGTGTGTGTGTGTGTGTGTGTGTGTGTGACTTTTCTTTCATTCTCCTGGGTGGTTACCAACAGCCAGTGTATGCCGGAGTATGTGGTGTGGTGTGTGTGTAGAAAAAAAAAAGAAAAAAGAAAAAAAATGGAAAAATGAAAAAATAGGGATTCACTGGCCAGAAAAAGTCACTTCAAACAGCTGTGTGGTGGATACCAGGCTAAAAATAGTGGCGGTCAATTCATCAGCCTTGCAAGCTGTTGAATGGTGTAATCCCAGCACAAGTTGCTATGTCTAACATAGCTGTTCGCTATCATCGCTCCCGCGATGGGCATGTCTGAGGTCTGAGGTGTGTGTGTGTGTATCACTGTGTGTCACTGTGTGTCACTGTGTGTGTGTGTGTGTGTGTGCGTGTGTGTGTGTGGGTGTGGGTGTGGTACATGGGGGTGGGCTCTCTCTCTCTCTCTCACTCCTTAAACCTTTCTTCAGCTGGGAGGTTTGTATTCGGGATAGTATTGCCGGGGCTGACAGTGCACTGTTAGCCTGTGTACGTGTGAAACTCATTCGGAACTGGGTACGATTTTTTTCCAGCAGACTGCTCAGCTTCCTAGAACATCCTTTGGCAGCAGCTGTTTAGTGATGCTATTGTGTCTAACCGTGTTCTTGTCTGCAGTACGTGGCCATTAGCTGGTTTCATGAGCTGGCCTTCGTGGACCCCGAGACACCGGCAGAGTTTCGACCAGTGCTGCAGCTCTGCCATCTGCTGTACGGTTACTGGTGCATGCATAAGCACCTGGCCATCTTCTACCAAGGTAGGGACTGCTGCTGCTGTGCGTGTACTACTTATGTGTGTGCATGCGTGGGTGCGGGCATGTGCATGGGGGGGGGGGGGGGGGGTACGCATGCGTGGGTGCGGGCGTGTGTATGGGGGGGGGGGGGTACGCATGCGTGGGTGCGGGCGTGTGTATGGGGGGGGGGGGGGGGGTACGCATGCGTGGGTGCGGGCGTGTGTATGGGGGGGGGGGGGGGTACGCATGCGTGGGTGCGGGCGTGTGTATGGGGGGGGGGGGGGTGTGTATGTGTTTCTACTGTCCCTGTTTGTTTTTGTTTTCCGAAAATTCCGAAGTGTCCGCTTGTCATCCAGTTTTAGCCCTACAGTGCGTTTTTTTAAACAGACATTTGTCGATTTTGATTTTTTAGTTTGTTCTCATTCCAAATTTGAAATTTTTTCTTCACAGCTGCGTTTGTGTGGGTCTTGGATCGAAGAAAATTAAGTTTGGGAATCGGAATAATAATAATTGTCAAAGTTAGATATTCGGCCGGGTTTTGCCTGAAATCCGGTTTTAAATGGTTTTCAGTGGGTTTTGATTTTCAAACGAAAGTTTTAGCCAGGAAAGCTCATCACGTGCATGGTGTCCGCCAGAGTTCGAATCCAGTACAGTTCATCTTGATTCTTTTTTTCTCTTCTTTTTCGGTACAGCGCATGCATGTACATGTACATGACTGTGCAGTTGTGCACTGCTGTTTGCAGTTCTCCTATTTCAGTATTTGAAGGAAACCAGTAAGTCGTGGCTTTTCACGACTTACTGTGGCAAACTGTACTGAATAATTCAAATGCTGTATTGCAATTAGCTCAATAAATCAAAACATTCCAGCATGCATGTAGGAAACTTCCCTCGATCCCTGAAAGAATGCAGTGAAAATTCAAACACCACAACAAATCACAAGGGCAATTCACACAGCACCCATAAAGAGACTGAAAGGAAGCAATACATGAGCGGTTTTACAAACACACACACACACACACACACACACACACACAAACACACAATGCAAATAGGTCACAGTTGTGTCTGGTTCAACATCTGCGAATAGTAGAAGACCAGCGAGGGTCGAAACGGCCCCAATTATTCCGTGTTTTGTGTTGCACTTGTGACGACAGTATTACACAGTGAACAGATGTACTAGGACAGCCGACGACGTATATCATCGTTGGCGTCGGCCTCGTCGGTCTTCAGTCACGAACACATCGGCGCAGTTTTTCACGAATCCGTCCCGTCCACCAGTATGCAGAACAATAAAGCACTTGCCTTTACCTGATGGTGCTTCATTTGGTTGCTTGCCTATACACTCCTGTCACCACTGTCGGACCACCTCCTAGTAACTGTGTGACGCGCATTGACCCACGTCTCATCCAGGTACATGTATGTCTCACTGACACAGGTAGCGATGCCGCCATGACACAATCCCGTGCCGTTCCATCATGTGTGTGATACCTCTGGTCTTGCCACGCTGGAATCCCATGGAACGCAACATTTTCCAAGAGCTAGTTTTGCTCATGTCTGGAAAATCGTCGATGCTTTCTATGCAGCGAGCAGGAACTTTGTCCAGTGTTGGGTGCTCCTTCGCAGCATAGAATCCGTAAATAACTTCTTTACATACAGTCCAAAGCAAATCCGTCAGGGTTGAGTGGTTTTATGGCACGAGTCTCACATTGGGGTCACTCTCGTTACCTTCATCACTGGAGACAGACAAGACCAACGCAGCACGCTGATTTTCGCCGTCAGCATCCCTGGTACATCTGTTCATGGTGGAAATGCTGACGCCACACGCAACAGCAGCATGACGAATGGAATACTTGGGACCAATTCGATGCCCAGCCATTGTTCTCCTCGTCTTCGCAAAAATTGTAAACCGACACCACCATGTAGATTTTATCATGGCCCGTTCGCGCTTTGTTATATGTGGCATGTCGAGAGAAGAAGTTGCCACGAACGAAAAGACACTCGAGAAAAAGCAAAATAGGGCCACGGATCATGAGAGCAGTCAGCAACAAAATGATTCCTCCAGCCACGAGGAGCTCGAAGGACACTCTGAACGAAACGGCGAAATGCCACGAGTCACACCTGGTTTTCGAATTTCGCGCGCAGATTTTCGTGACGCAACTCGCATGACATTTTCTCAAAAGTGGCCTTGAGTACGTTCTCAAGGATTTCAGAGTCTATTATAAAAAAACGCACTGTAATCACCTGTTTAGAGAGCACAAGCATCTGCTTCTTAAAGCATTGGCCTGCATTTTTTTCATACAGGGATGTTCTGAACACCGTCAAAGCCGGGTGTTGATATTAGCTTTCGGGGCTCACGGTGGTTATGTGAAAACATGTACAGTGTTTCCCCGAATTTTAACTCGCACCTTTTTTTAATTACAGTAAAACCTGGTTTAAGCGTCCACCCCACGGTGCAAGCAAAAGCGGTCATTAAAGCCAGGTGGTCCTTAGAACCAGGTCCCACAGTGTCTGCGTAGAACTGTCGGTGCGTGGAAAGACGGTCGTCAAGAGCAGGTGGTCGCTAAACCCAGAGGTCGCTTACACCAGGTTTTACTGTAACGTCAAGAGCAAAGAAGGGGGTGCGACTTCGGGATCCCGCACACGACACTCAGTGACGTAACAGAAACCAAGATGTCCTCTGACGTATTTCAATCCTGGCATCACAAAACATGAGCCCTGAAAGTTAAATGGTTGGGCTGCGCTAGCACCAACAGGTGTTTTGTGTGTGTGTGTGTGTGTGTGTGTGTGTGTGTGTGTGTAACTGTGTATGTGTGTGTGTGTGTTTGTGTAGGAGGTTACTTTGTGGACAAGAATGCTGGCAAGGTGGTGAACGACATCATCATTCAGCTCTGCTCCGAGGTAAGCCTTGCAGGCCACCAGCCACACAGTACGAGGGGATTCTCTCCTATCGACAACACATTGTTTACTTTGTTGTGAGCACGTTAATGCTAGTGCTGATCCATGTGTTCTGCATCAGAGGAGGCAGATACTACACGTCGCCTAATTGACTGTCACCACCAGGACTCGAACCAGGGACCCTCGATTGTAGCTAGCGATGCTCTAACCACTGAGCTATGGTGTAGTCGTCATCCCAGTACTGTTCGTTTTGCAAAAACTATCGGTAACCCCGAACGGCCCGTTGCTGGCTTGATAAATGTTATGCCTCTCTCCCTGCTGGCCTTATTTTTTTATTCTTCTTTTAGTCCATATCGTGCAATTAGGCAAATTTACGTGTTTGTCCGTCGAGTGTCAATAAAACAAGCAATCAAACGAACAAACAAACAAGCAGGGGGCATGCAATATTCTTTGCATATAATTTACTGTATTATGTGTGTGTGTGTGTGTGTATGTGTGTGTGTGTGTGTGTGTGTGTGTGTATGTGTGTGTGTGTGTGTGTGTGTGTGTATGTGTGTGTATGTGTGTGTGTGTTTGTGTGTGTGTGTGTGTGTGTGTGTGTGTGTGTGTGCGTGTGTGTGTGTGTGTGTGTGTGTGCACGCATGTGAATCATCTATCGGTGTGCTTAGATGAAGAAAGACGCTGTGTCGCTAGCTGATGTCTTTGCTCCACCAGATCACATGCTTCGCTCACCCATCGGTCACAGTAGTGGACAGGTAGGTCTATGTGATCAGCTCTCTCTCTCTCTCTCTCTCTCTGTCTCTCTCTCTCTCTCTCTCTCTCTCTCTCTCTCTCTCTCTCTCTCTCTTTTTTTTTTTTCTCTCTCTCTCTCTATCTCTATCTATCTATCTCTATCTCTATCTCTCTCTCTCTCTCTCATAAGTGTGTGGTTCAGTGATACAGTTGTGTGGCTGCTTGTTTCAACTTCTGTCCATGAATGTGTTTTTAAAATAGCTGAACAGAGCTGTTGAGTTGAGAATCGAGGAAGGTGAAACTTGTGCACATGCTATGCCTATCGGCAATCAGTACCTGGCTGGTCTTGAGTCCACCTTTAAAGGGGAAGTTAAAGGGGAAGTTAAGGCAAAAATTTAAATTTCACCAGTTGTAGTCTTCGGGGTGCTGAGTCGAATGGTCTTGGTCCGAGGAGCTGAGACGCTCCCTTCCTACTTGAATCCCAATCGAACTCGCGCACTTCCACCGAAACTGGGTGACTGCGCCCTACTAGATGGGGATTTGTATGCAAAATGTCACTAAAAGCGTCATTTCGTTCTTATAAAAGCACGGATGACCACGATTGGCCCATATGTTGTAGTCTTTTGGACGCTGAGTCGACTGGTTTTGGTCCGAAAAGGCTGCGATGCAGCGTTCCTCCTTTATTCCCAATCGAACATGGTTGAACAAGTGGTCACGTGCTCCTGGGTGCCCAAATCACCTGGTCACCACGCCAACACGCGACAACTTTCACACCAAGGTTCAACTCAAGTGACAGGACTGCACCCAAAAAAGGTCAAACAGGCTAGTAAGTTGTACCCTGCAGGCACGGTGACCAGGTGACTGGTGTACGCAGGAGCACGTGACCGCTTGTTCAACCATGTTCGATTGGGAATAAAGGAGGAACGCTGCATCGCAGCCTTTTCGGACCAAAACCAATCGACTCAGCGTCCAAAAGACTACAACATATGGGCCAATCGCGGTCACCCGTGCTTTTATAAGAACGAAATGGCGCTTTTAGTGACATTTTGCATACAAATCCCCATCTAGTAGGGCGCAGTCACCCAGTTTCGGTGGAAGTGCGCGAGTTCGATTGGGATTCAAGTAGGAAGGGAGCGTCTCAGCTTCCTCGAACCACGACCATTCGACTCAGCACCCCGAAGACTACAACTGGTGAAATTTTAATTTTGCCTTAACTTCCCCTTTAATACTCCTCTTATCTCTTTAGTAGAAATATCTGGTTTGAATAGAAGCCTGACTTGAGTAGAAGCCTAGCACTGACATTGGCTGCTACAGACATATGCACGGCTTTACGGGGGTACTCATAACCTGTACGTTCTGTGCACTGTTGTGACGATGTGTTCTGCTCCTTGTTGTTGTCAGGCATACCGGGAACTCTACCAGGCGGTTATGACGTCGCCCGGTGCACTCACTCGGCCCGCCTGGTGGCCAGTGTTCTGCAGCGACAAGCCCCAGCATGCCTCCAGGTCGGAGTGGAGGGACGAGCTGCAGAAGCGCGAGGACGCACGCGAGGCCGCGAGCGACGCAGCCGCTGCTGCCGCTCCGTCTAAACTCTAGACCCGATGATGATGATGAGGGATTAGCAGATTGGCATATGTTTTGTTGTTGTTTTTCGCCCGATCATGGCATACCTGGTGTGCAGCTAGATGATAATTTGCTTCGTCAGGAGATGCGGAGTTTGGTGTACGGGTTTGTGGTGTGTGTTTAGGATTGTGCAATTTGACCTTGTTCCGACGTGTTCTATTCCCCTACGCTTGACTCTGCCTGAGGTTCATGTAATTAAGGGCGTGCAGTCTTGCACTGTATCTCTTGCTCTCTCTTTCTCTCTCTCTCTCTCTCTCTCTCTCTCTCTCTCTCTCTCTCTCTCTCTCTCCACCTCACACACTCTTAATCTCTATAATGAAGCGTGGTCTCTGCCAGAGGGTAGCATGACTGCATGCAGCAGAAGCCACAGTACCTGTAGCATGAGCTGAAAGTACATGGCAGCAACGCCACAAGAAGATATCCAGTATGTAGGTTTTTCCAGATTTAGTTACTCCTTTACCAAACCTTAGTACGTACATATGTACATGATACCGCGTTCAACCTTATCGAGGCGACTTACACGATCGTACCAAACGTTTATTTATTTCAAAATTGTCGCTTTACAATGATTTTTATGATTCTCTTATCATTGCTAGTACTAGTAGTGCTGGGAGGTGTAAGCCGCCAGCCGTTGGGAGGAAATAATGCAGAGGCTGCATATTGGATCCAATACAACATCACCAGTTCATTGCTTGTTTTCCGTGTGTTGTGTGCATGCATGCTAGTTGGAGTGGTCTTCTGGAAAGTTTTTTTAATTTCTGCTGTGCCGAGTGATACCCTGTTGCATACGAGATCAAACCTGGTGAGGCTGCAGTAAAAGAGAGAAAAAGCAAGTACAGTAAATAGCACAACAGGAAGAAAAGGAGCTAAAATGAATGTAATTTTACTACTGTCACCGAGGGTACACCAGTACTTCTGGGACACACCAAATACTTTCTTCCCAAATAGGGACATCTAGCTGGGTCGCCCCGGTACTGAGTACGTAACCCCAAGAGTATTCAACTTTGCATAATATAATGGGATCTGAATGCCTTCAATGCAATCATTGTCACGCGTTATGGGTCATTGTGTCATCATTGATCTGCTACGCGCACGGTTTCCTGATTCCAAATCCGCGTCCCTCGGAGACTTCAGGCACTTCCTTATTATATTGGCATTATTGCAGGTAAAAGTGTTGAGGTTGAACCGTAGGAAACCTCGAATCCAGGCTGCTGGATCATCGTTTCACTACGTAATGCAGGCGGCGCGCCGCACAAGGCACCGCGCCGCACAAGGCACCCATACCTCAGAGGTCAGAGATGCACACTCTTGGGCTTATCATAGCTAAAAGTATCATCAAAATGGGGCATTTTCGCAAGGGAAATACACCTGAGAGAATGATGACAAAACCCCTTGTATTGGGATCGACTTGGAGAGTTGGGGTCGGTCTTTACACTCTCCTTGCAGAGCAGGGATTCAGTAGGTTGTTACCATGGTCATAATCATGTTACTCCTGAAACAGTATACAATTAATAATAATATCAGTAAGATGGAGCTATAGGGGTCAACAAAAAAGATGACACAATCAGTTGAGCTTTGTCTACACAGTTTTAGATAAGAGGAAACCTTGGGAATACCGGTACACTGCATTGTTCAGCCTTGTGTGTGTGTTCGGAATAATTATAATAATTATTATGTTTGGATAATGCCTCCTCAGTATTGAGTGCTCTCAGTACACTGGGTGCATCGTCCGGCTTTTGAATAATTAGAACGGTTTCCCCGGCAACTTGGGGTTTGAATTTTTAAAGGACTCCACAAAGTCCTGATTGTAGTGTGGAGCACTGTCCAGAAAGAATGACTCAATTAAGAAAAAACGAAACTTCAACTTGCAACCGGTTTTGTCTCTTTATAATAGGCCATTGCAATAGAATGATAGTGATTTGTCTCCGCTCTTGATGGTACTGAGCTAGCTCTGTCAGCATGTGTATCTTGGTCAGTCATATACTGAGTAGCGGTGAGGTGACATGTAACAACAACGTGGCCAGGTTCCGAGCGACTCCAGGTCTGCGATCCTGTACATTGAGATGGTCACAATAACACATTGTAACAAATTGCCGATCATGGCGTACAGGTTGGTCAGGTCTTCTCTCTGGAGCTTAATCAGTTGTGCTCCTCTCTCTGTGCCCCAGTTCTCCACTGTACACATACACACATTATGTGTGTGCATGGCGGCGGCCTCGCCAACAGCAAGCTGAGCACGATAATGTTCATTACGGTGGCATGCCTTCTCCAGCCAGTACTAACTGGCAGGGTGTATATGGGCATGTGACGAGGCGGCATTTCTGACCGACTGGTACGTCGGCGGAGGAGTCGAATGGCGTGGACTCGCTTCGTCAGCTGGTGTCGGCGGTGGCGGCGGGGTGGGGTACACGTCGGTCGACGAGTAGCTCGGCGGGGAGTTTCGACACAACGGGTGGTACTTCGGCAATGGCGAGTCTCGGGGAGCGGCGGCGTTGATGAGTGGCGCCCGTTCCGATACGGTCTCCGCGGGTAACAGCACCGCCGCCATCGCTCTCCGCTGCTTGCGATCATGACGTACACAGAGCACCGCCATGGCTATGAGCACTGTGCTGACACCGCCGAACACGCCCATGTACATGCTCTCGCGGGGCACGTAGCCGAGCCCGGGCGTGAAGGTTTGGAGCATATCAGTCGAGTTGGGCGCCACGAACAGGGCATAGCGCTGGCTGCTGAACGGCAGCGGGGAGTCGCAGCCCGACATGCTGACGTCGGCAAAGTCACACTGCGTCTCCAGACTGGCCGTGTCGTATAGAGACCGACTGACGTCCAGTCGGATCTCAAAGTGGCCGGTCACGCCGGTGATGCGGCGATCGCGTGCCACGACAAAGTAGTACACGTACTCCTTGCTGACGCTGCCGTTGAACACTACAACGCTCTCCGCTATGCCGTGCTGCGGCGTATAGCGATAGCCGGCGATGGAGAAGTTGTGCCTGTTGTTCTCGTCCCGGTTCACCCAGTTACGGAATTGCCTGCAGCAACACACAGCAGCATGGAGAGTGGAATGGAATATAGACACGTATGTGCATGGAAAAGTACACACACGCACATACACGCATGTGTGCGTACACATACACATGTATACACACACAGCCATGCACGCATGTATGCACACGTACACACACATCACACACACACACACACACACACACACACACACACACACAAACACACATACACACACACAAAGAAGCAGAAACTCGTTAAACTATGAGAAAAGAACTAGCAAGACCAGCAGCAGTAAGTGCTAGATCATCTTGTGGGGGATAGAACACGCAACACCAGGCGTGCATCTGGTGTGATATTGCCCGTAACACCAATGATGTACACACAGTCTAGTGGAGTGAGTGCTGGTAGGCATTGAGCGCCGTTCACCTGTAGAGATCGTTGACCTGTGAGCACGAGGCTGCACTGATCCAGGTCGCAAACCTGACTCACACGATCGGATTTCATTGATCGGCATCGTACATGTAAAGTGAGAAACTGTCGCTAGAGATTAAATTTCGCTATTTTCGCGACCACCACACATTTCCGAATATAAATCGCCGCGGACTGCTGTGTGCATTGATATTTGACGGTACAAGATCCAACTGAGTAGATGAGATCGCGAAAGTTTCTCATCGTGAACCAGCGCAATTCTTGCGCGCCGCGAAACTTTACCGTTTTTACAGTACACAGTGGACGTACAGTAAGACGTGGGTGTGCCGGACTCTGTACCAAGCGAAATCTTGTATCGTTCGGACAAAATTTTCATGCACCAAAGTGCTGTGGATTGAACGTGTATCCCCGGATCAAGCAGAATCCTGTGATATCAGGGCAGTTTGCGCTGCACCAAGGGCGTCCGTCCGGTTAGGGCACGTTTTACTCTAGTGATTATGGTGGCTGAACATAAACATTTTTAAAGGCCACTTACGCGTCGCCTCGAATCAGGTAGAACTCAAAGTTATCCTTCGTCGTGACGGTCATCGTTGCACTCGACGGCGGAATGAGATTGAAACTCCAGAACTGGGAATCGTCCCACATGATGAGGGCGCTCGTTTCCATAGTGAAGTTGTCTCGTCTGGGCCGGATGGACGGGCGCTGGGACAGTATGTACGCCTTCACGCTCTCCGAATCATCGCCTTTGCTGCTGAACTGCACGCCGCGGTTCCAGACGGTGTCGAGCGTGACCAGTCGCGTCGCCCGCGGGCTCAAGTCCACCTAGGCGCGGAAGAAGCAGAGACAACACGGAGGGAGTTAGCTACAGTTGCGCTCGGTGAAATCCGACCCAAAGTTCATATGTGCCGCCTTCAACCTGCACAGGGGGGGGTTAAGGCTAAATGTATAGATGAGGGTGCATGAGTGTACAGAAATCACCATTCATTATGATCGACATGGTCCAGGGACTTTGAAGGTCGAAACAGCTTGTACCCTTGGATATAACATACTTTTGCATCGGATGTAAACTTCTATTTTGAGGACCCGCATGCGTATAGTGCTGCTCAACGAAACCAAGATTGCATAACCCCCAAGAGTGTGCAACTCGACTGTATGTGCTGTCCCGACAGAATTTCAAGTTGACGTCATTTTTATGATGCAATGTGCACTGTACACGGATTATGAGACGAACCCGGAACCTGTGGTGGGCCAAAGCCCACCTGATCCCGTACAAACGTGTGATGCGTCGACATCCGAACACATGTTGTAAATCACTGGTGCAAGGAGCATCGCATCAAAATTTCATAAATTCAACTTGAAATTCTGTCGAGACAGCAGGGTATGTGGGAGTTGCACACTCTTGGGGGGATATGTACTCTTGATGAAACCCAATCCCGTGTCTGTGAGCCAAGTAAGTTAGTTTGCACCCTGCACCCAGTTCACATCCCAGTACACGTATTTGCAGGTCCAGGGTTAGTACTGGGATGCACTGCACCGGACGGCGTGGCGTTCGCTCCCTTGATGGGATTTCATCGAGTAACACGGCAGATTACCTTTTCGGATATTGAGAACCTCGGATATTCAGTACTTCGGACATTAAGTACATAATTGATGTTTATGTTCCTCTGAGTTACGTTATAGTGAATTTTCCCTGTACGACGAAGTGCTCCTTACCGATCGTTCATTGAAGACGACCACTAGCAGCATGATGGGTACGATTGCACAGGCAAAGATCAGAACCAGCAGGAAGGCACCGCAAAGGCACGGAAAGCGGCATCTCCTGCCGCCGCCGTGGTGAAGCGAGTGGTAGTCGCTGTGAAATCCTCCAGCTCCTACTCGGGGTCGTCGTCCTCCTGCACCGGATCCACCATGACGGTGTCCTCCGCTGTGGGGCATTGCGCTGCACACACAGAGGCACACACTCGCTCTCGCTCGCTCACTTCACCTCTTCTGAATCGCTGGCTATCTGGCCCAGGGAAGGTGATTTCTTATGTCGTCGGAGAGGACTCAACTAATACTTCACTGTGTACAGGGACAGTGCGACAGTTCAGTCTCAGTCCATGAACAACAGGAGGAGCAGGTATGAAAACAAACGCGGTTTCTGGATCCAAAACGAAATGCTTCCAAGATCCTGAGGTAAGTCGGCGACACTTCGGTCCCTTCACGGCTTCAGCAGAATGAATGGCGCAGCAGACAGACTGTGTTGCAAACTCACTCGCACTCACTCGTCCCGTGTGTAGCGCCTAGCGCCGTAGCGCGCGGTGGACCGGTGGCGACCAGAACTGAAGTGAAGCTAGTACAGGAGATCGAGATCAACCGGCCTGCCGAGCGATGTGGAGCGTCGTCCACGCAAACACTGCACTGAAACAGTGACCTACAAAGACTACAACTAATTACTTACACAGTACAAGTAAGTGTAGTAGAATCTCACCTACACGATAAGCTACAGGACTTCTGAAATGGAAAAGCGTAACCATGGTAACTGGTTGAGTGTGAATGAAAATGAAAAAAAGCCGGCTGAAAGTATGAATGAAAAACTAAGACAGTACAAGACGCGTCTAGTTTTTACACCGTTGCCAATGGCGACTTGGAGCGTGTGGACTGATCTTTGACTTTGATAAAGAAAGTAAGTAGTTCACTGTCGCTGTTTCAGCTTTCTTCAGTTTCTTCAACGGCCTGTTTTCTTGCAGGTAGACGCGTCCTCTCTGTGATTTACACAGCACGGCAGTCCAGCTGAAGTGTATACGTAGTAAAAGCTGCTCTGTCTGGAGGGCAGTTGAGTTGTTTTGGTGAAGAGTGTGTGACTGCACTAGCTTGCAGCCTGAGCAAGTAACCTGTCGGCCATACCTCAGTGACAAGCAGTGTGTCAAGACTGTGGCTCAGTCTGAGTCAGTGACGCGGCACGCAGCTCTCAGCTATGGCCCACGCTCTGAGTACAGACTCAGTCCACCAACATTATTTTTACCATTCCGTGCAACTGCTTCAGCTGCAGTATTACCATGAATCATGCATGATTACTCCCTGGCCTAGGCCTAGCAGTAGCACAGAACTTCAGAAGGCGCTAGCCTACACTACTGCGGATACTCCAGAATGATGTGGGGGTGCCGAGACACAACCTGTCCTATTTCTACAGGAAAACGGTGCAGAGACGCAGGTCTAGAGAAGCTGTCGACTGCGGAGCCTAGCCTGGGCGGTAAGCTGGTAAGACGTCTGCGATTGGATCATGTCAGTCTGCAGCTGAAATTGCGGAGTGTCACGTGCAGTGATGGATGACTACACCGCTTGTCCAGGCCAGATTTTGTAATTGTAGTGTAAATTTTTATACTTGCCATACCTAGCCTATGGCCCAGGTCCATTGGCATTGGCATTGGCATTGAGTTCGTAGTTGTGTGGGTTCAGTGTGTTGCCAGTAAGTAAAATCCGGCGTCATGACCATGGACCATGCTCACTGCACGTTCAGTGCTCAGTGTGGTGCACAGCCCTGTCTCTCCCAGGCTGTCCCCAACAAGACTTACAATGTAGTTTAATATGATATCCAGTTCATGTCACCGAATTTCATTTGCTATTGCTCACCTCAGGCACTGTATTTTTAGAGGTTGCAGCACAAGCTTACAAAAGGCAGAAGGAAACTTTTAAAATTCGGTTTGCACCGCCGGCAAGGGGCATGTTGGTTGTGCCCGTGGATACCTGGGAACCACTAAAATGTTTGTAGATAGGCACTAGTAGCAGCACACTCCATCAGTACATCACTTTCACACATTCCCTTGTTCTGAACATTCTTCTTGTGTGTTGAGGACTTCTGTGCTAGGTGTATATTATCTGTTCCAAGAGGAAGGTGTGGTTGATACAATAAGATTCGAAGCAGCATAGAGCTAGAAATGCTTTCTCAGGCCCATGACGCTCGGAAATTAGACCGGGGGGGGGGGGGGGGCTCTCGGCCCTGTAGCCGACCGGGGACCGCACCACCACCCCTCGTGAGCTGGCTCGGGCCTGCCACATCATGCATTGTTGTTTTGGGAACCACTAACAAGGGTGTGTCGAAGTAAGCACCTCTGCCTCTGGTACCGAGCACTGAGCAGGTCATCGAGTAGTATCCAATCATCAGACACTACTGTGTTACCCCGGCAACTATACAACCAGGGTTAGCTCTTGGCGGATAATGCTCAGGGCGGAACTGATACTTGGCACGTTTTTCTGGTATGCTTCATGCATGTTTGGTATGTGGGTAAAGAAATGGAGCAGAATTCAAGGAAGTGCCTGCCTTAATTCAAAGGTTTGTATGCTTTTGAAGTAGTTATGCCGGTTTCACTCCTTTTCAAGCAGAATCGGCCAATATTTTTGGGGCGCTTTGCCCCAAGCCCCCCCCCCCCCTCCCTCCCCTCTCTCTCTTTCTCTTTCTTCACGCTCCCTCCCCCCCCCCCTCTCTCTCTCTCTCTCTCTCTCTCTCTCTCTCTCTCTCTCTCTCTCTCTCTCTCCGCTCTCTTTCCCTCTCTCCCTCCGCTCTCTCCTCAGAACCCCCATGATCAGCATTTTCGCCGATATATTCATTACACTGACGGTATCCCAACTCCTTAATTACCAGGTGTTGTATGCCTAGATCTATTTCCTTAGCCTATCCTCGATTATTTTGGATCCAGCGGTTTTGTGGCACACTGATTATAGCCATGTGTCGTCTCCATTCTTGTGCAATCATGCATATGTAGGTTGGTTCTCTTCATGTTCATGTTATTGTGACCTATTTCATAGATGTTGGTTGCCTTGTTGTTTTCTCTCCCCTCTCCTCTCACCCAAGCCATTCTGCATAAGCGAAGCTGTGGACGCAGCATACTGCTGCTACACTTCAACGCGGGAATGCGTATAAAAAATAAATAATAATATCCTCGATTAACTGCTCCCTCTGCATAAAGTTGTCATTTCATTCTTCTTGCAGGAGATCCCCTCGATAGGCCAAAAGCCTTTGGGAAATCCTTAAATATAATACAATATTGCATACAATACAATGCATTGATTGTGTATGATAACATGTATCATGTCGGCATTGCATTTGGAGTCGGACATGTTGACAGCTCATCTTGAAGGGGAAATGATCACTTTGCTCGCCAATGATGGGGACTGCCAGATGATCATTCTGTTTATGTCATGTGGCTCATCAGGAATGACATCATTAGATTCATTATGACATTTAAAAATTTTGGTGGGATTACTAAAACGAGGCCACTATCATCGACTGTCCACATGGTCCACTTGCAGGCTAGAAAAGACTATGTCTATGGAGCACTGGTGTATGGTGAAGTGTAGTGCACGTGAAAGGTACATGGCGGTCAACAGGAAATAGGGCGAAAGGACTTCGAGCAGCCCGGCAGCAATGAAAGCACGATCGAGTACCCTGCACTGCCATGTCTGTGCATGTGCCATGACGTTTGGTGTTGTATGACTAGTGCCAAGAGCACCTAACCCCCCATAGGGCCATACTCTTGGTAGTGCTGCGAATCATACAGAACATACCGGTATCACAGATAAGAGCGTCTAGACAATCATAATCATTACCGGTCTCTGCTATCGCCCATCAAAATGATGTTAGATGTACGCTACCTTGAGTTTTGAATCGAAATAAATGTGAGAAGGTACATGACAAAACGTCGTTGATATGAACCCATGCTAGTTGAAAGTACTAGTTCAGTGCAAGCTGCAGCACTTGAAATATTTGTCCAGAGTGACAGTGACTGAGTTCCATCTTAGAATCCTAGCTTTTGGATCCAGCCAAGAAGTGCTCCGGAGATTTTCGGGACGTAGACTCAAACTTTGCGGTGCAGCAAGCCGCAGGCGCAGGTGAAACAACTGACGGGAGATTCGTCAGACTCGGCAGCAAATCTGAATTGTTTTCAGGACTGAAATAATTCGTCGGCTCAGGCGGTACAGCAAGCCACCGTAGATCTACGTGCAGTCTACATACGCTGCAGCAATAGCTGCTCCTCGCCCTCGCGGCCTCGGTAGATCTGTAGCTAGGTCCAGCGTTTACGGCCTTGGTAGTGGCTTTCCAGACAGATTTCATTGAAAAGGCAACCAATATTTTATTTTTTTACTGCTGTTACTTGCTTGCGCCGATCTGAGGCTGAGAAAGCACCCAGGCTGTAACTGGGAGTGGGTGTAGAGCCGACCAGCGTAAGCATGCCTCACGGTGGAGGTCATCGTGGGGGTGGCGGCGGAGGTTATCACGGTGGTGGCGGATACCATCATCACCACCACCATCACGGACACGGTCGTGGTGGTCGTCGCGGCCGCTGCAGCTTTCTGTGCTGCTTCGCCTGGTGCTACGCGGCTTTGATATTCGGCTGCTTGATCACGCCTCTGATTCTAGCCTTCAGCACGTTCGGCACAAAAACAGTAAGTAGTTGGTTCACTTTACAGATCGGAGGTGTACGGTAGAACATGTTGGTGATTCATACAGATGAATAATACAATAGCACATACATGTAGTATTGGGTATACCCTGCCCTTCCAGACAAATCCACTAGCTGAAGCAGCCCTGTTAGGGGCCGTCCGTAAATATCGAACTTTTTTCACCAAACGAATTATTTTAGTTTAGACCCAACCCCTCCCTCGAAGGCCTCCCTCCCCCTCAGAACGTAAAAATTGTTGACATATACATGCATATACAACAAAAGTCGCAAGTGTGTCACTGCTCCTATGACCATGTACATGTATCGAAGTTTTCTGAAACGAAATTGGTCAACCCCTCCCACCCCATAACGAAATTATTTCGTTTCGTGAAAAAAGTTCGATAATTATGGACGACCCCTTAGCTTGTTCCGCTAACGTCATGATAATAATTATTGTCCTGGATTGCTCGATTATCACTCTATTTGCACGCACGACCGTATGTACTTGTGCCGCGTTTGTGCAAGCTCGTACACACGTACATGTATGTGCGTATTCATGCCTGTTTGTGTGTATTTTGTGTATGTACACGCCGTGTGTGTTCACGTGTGTACGTACGTGACATGTATTCATGTGTGTGTGTGTGTGTGTGTGTATGTGTGTGTGCCACACATTTGCTTCCGTTCGCGCATCCATTCCGACATTGATCTGCCTGTGCTGCGTTTGTCGTATCAGTACGAGTTAAGTCCTCGCGCCACACGGCTGGTCAGCCTCAACACAATCTTCAACGACTGGGTGACACTGTCGACAAAGGACACGCTCTCTCAGGCTGCCAAGATGAACGCCTACGTCGTCTCCGCTAAGCCGCCGGTCCTGCCGACGCCCGACAATTTCACACTGAGCGTGAACCGGTCTATGTATTGGGACGACTACGAGTTTTGGAGTTTCTATCTCATCGTACCGTCCCGGGCGGAGCTCAACATCACCACGAAGGACAGCTTTGAGTTCTACCTCATCCAAGGAGATGAGTAAGTACTGGGTGACCAATTGGTCTGGGGTTACTTGTCCTCTTGGGTCACCGTCCCTGATCTAGGGTTCCCTGTTTCCGGTCTGGGGTAGCGTGTCCCTGATATGGGGTTACTTGTCCCTGCTCTGGGGTTACTTGTCTCAGATCTAGGGTTAACTTTCCCTGATCTTGGGTAACTTTTCTCAGATCTGAGGATATTGAGTGAGGTGATGCCCAAGAGGGAGGGGAGTGTCATGAGATTTGGTGCAAGGCACCGCAAGCTCACGAAAAGCTTTCATAATCTATACCAGCGTGTATTAGTGCGTATTTTGTGTGTGTGTTCAGGCAAGAAAGGGTTTGCTCCCCACACCGGAGCTCGCGCTATTCCGCCGACTTTACTTGACACTTGACTGACTCACGACTGCCATCCAGAGCACACGAGAAGTCCATCGAACCTTCGACTCGGCAAACCTGCAAGAAAGCACCACTCCCTGCTCAATACACAGTGTTTCGGGGAATTCACCCCTCATCAGTTGAGCTTGAGTAGGCTGAGGAAGATTGTGCCTGAAGAGCACCACTTATATAGTGCTCTCCAGGTACAAACATCACCAGGGATACAAACTTACAGAGACGCTCCGCTTCCAGCGCGATAAACACCTCGTGAACACCAGATAGCAGCGTGAGTCAGTGTCGCTCCTGGACGGTGAGACCAGACGTTGAGGACCCTCGGTCATTCGCAACGCTGTCACCTCCAAACCAACTAGTCGCAAGCCCGCGCTGGGCTTGTGTACAGGCAACTTCGCTTATAACGACACTCGGCGGGGCATCAAAAAAGTGTCCTTATTCGCGAAGTGTCGTTATACCCGAAGTCTCATTATGTATTACAGTGGGATGGGACTTTGCTCTGGGCATGGAAATTCTGTCGTTATTCGCGAATTGTCGTTATATCCGCACTCGTTATTAGCGAAGTTGACTGTATGTGTGTGTGTGTGTGTGTGTGTGTGTGTGTGTGCGCGCGTGTGTATGCATATAATGTGTGTATGTGTCTGTCTGTCTGTCGGTCTGCCTGTGTGTGTGTGTGTGTGTGTGTGTGTGTGTGTGTGTGTGTGTGTATGCGTGCATGTTTCCACGTGCTGTGTGTTTTCCCGGCGCAGCGCCTTCAAACAGTGGAAGGACGGCAACTACGAGGGAAAGTACACGGCCACGCACACCTACTCCGGCTCAACGGACAGTCGCGTGCACGACGTGCGTGCGTTCAGCGGTGACGTACCACACGACGACATGTACTACTTTGTCGTGTCGCGCGACAGGCACCGCACAGCGCACCTCGGCCACTTCGTCGTCACGTTGGACGTGCAGCGTTCGCTGTACGACACCAACCTGACCACCTCACTTCTGGCAGAGTGCACGCTGGCGTCGAAGGACCGGCCGACTAACTGCACCACGTCCCTGTCGTATCGCAGCACCGGCTACGCACTCTTCGAAGGGCCCGAGCTGACGAACGTGACGGACATGGAGACGACGTACAGCGGGCAGGTCACGTATTCGTCTCGCGTGGGTCTCTACGTGGGCGCGTTTGGCGGTCCTCCACTCACTCTAACTGCCGTCCTAATCATACTTGGATTCATTGCGATGAAACCATTTAAGTTCGGCTCTAGCAGCAGCAGTAGCTCTCGTCCCGTCACCGTCACACGGACCGAGACCTCTCCGCTGGTCGGTGCGGCAGAGTCAACCGAGCCGTCCGCTCCACCGAGCTACGTTGCCACGGCACCGGTAGTGCCGCAGCCGACCAACGCCATGTACCCACCACCGCCCAGCTATGCTTCGCTCTCCAAGACGTACGGTTAGGAGGTAACGCAATGCATCAATGTACAGCGCTTGTCAATGACGTAATTTCGTAGCATAAACACCCCACACAGCCACACAGCCACCTGGGCATGGTCGTCTGGGGTGTTGAACACAGTGCATTCCTGAACCCAGCGTACTACTCACATGCATTACTCATACCTCCCATATTTGGCAATGCACATTGGCCTCATGGCACGAGACATCAATGTACAGTGCTGCTCAAAGAAGCCCGGTCGCGTGAGTCAAGTTTGTGCCCTGCACCATTTCGCCGCCAGGTGTTCGCAGATTTAGGGCTGCGCAGTGCCCGGCGCGTGCTAGAGCGACTCCGACTGGATTTCATCGAGCAGCATAACTGTACCTATTGCTCATGTTGCTACTGCTGGTGATAATGACGGTGCAGGTAGTGTGCAGCATCATCACTACATGCAATGCGTGCAGTGAATGTCAAGCATCGTACACTCCGTGCCTTTCTGTTCTGCTGTGTGGCAATGAGCTCCCGTTCACGTGCTGCGGGGAAGAACTCAAAGCATGCTCAGATTGACGTCCGTTCGCTTCTTTCAGTTGATATCCTCCGGACTGTGTATAATGATCCTTCTTATTTTCGAAACTATCTTTCTGATCCTTATCTACGTATTTCTTTATTGCCGTTTATAATGTTTCCTCGCACGCATACGCAAAAGCACAGCTGCACACAAAAACGTTTTTAAATTAATGCACATAATATTATTTGCTCTGGACCTGCTGGCTGGAGTCCATATTGAATTTATTTGAAAAGTTAAAAATGAAAACTGTGCTTTTTTTGCTGGCACATTTCTCACGTTCTGACTTCAATGATCTGTGAGCTCCTCATGCATAGCGAGTGTATGATGATGGTCTCCTCATTTCCAGAGAAGGGCTATACAGAGTCCATAGAAATGGAATTCTCCTGTCGGTTTTTGAAAGCCCAGTTTTTGGCTGTACAGTATATTAGGAGGGTCCTTGATGCTTGAGGCTGCATGGTGGCGTTCCTACGGATGCGGAAAACGCACACACGTACACGTACACGCGAATTGTGAATTTTTTAGGGTTCAAAACTCACTAAAAATTTCAAAATCTAGATTTTGTATCTGATCCTCCATGATATTCCTGGATGTCCTGCAAATTTGAAAAACCTAGCTAGCTGAATTTCTACCCCCCACAATGCAGGATGCACAGCCACCTCCACCACATCTAGAACGCACAAAGAGACAAACAATCCAGGGGGGGGGAGTTCTTGATAAATGGTATCCTGTTTACATTTCCGGTCTGAAATGTGGCACTGGTCACGCAATGCAGCATGCACAGGTATTCTCACGATCTAAAACTATGCATGTGACACAAAAAAACGCTAGTTATAGATGCCAGTTACAAATGAATGAACTGTAGGGAAAAAAGAAGTGCTGTGTCTGATGAAGACGGTTGGTTGAATGCAGTACTAACTAACCTAGGAATAGCATATATTACGCAGATGTCCACGGATGCCAGGGAGTCATAAAGACGGTGTTTTATAACTCCCTGGCGAATAGAATAAAATGAAACACGCACGGTATCTTTTAGTTTTCAACGTCTCCTTGGGAAGCGGAGCAGGCAGAATGAGCTCGCTCAAAGTTGTCGACAGATGCATGACCATCGCTTGATTTTTCGTATCATCGCTATTCATACGCTTGCTGTATCATCGCTATTATAAGTACGAACATTTGATGAATTAAATTTCAGATACTATTGATCCTAGGTGTGTGAGCTTCACACACACCTTCGTAGCTCTGGTCATCGGCCATTTCGTGCCAAGCTGTTCATGACCGGAGCCACACTGCATGCGAGAACAGACATTGCTGAGGTGGAGTATTTACAACTGTGAGCCATGTACAGCCTGCAGTTTTGGCAACAGAGGTATACGGCGTCGGCTCTCTGATTGGAGCCGAGCACATGCGCACGCACGCACACACACAGACACACACACACACACACACACACACACACACACACACACACACACACACACACACACACACACACACGCAGACACACACTTTCTTCCTTCCTTGTACCACTGCCGTGTCCGGCTATGTGGCCCCCAACGGGGCAGACTCGGATTTGTGCTGTCCATTAGGGCGCTCCACGGGAGTGTCATGTAGCGTTGCATTTGTGACGACTCCCATTCTGCCGTCGACGAAAACTACGGTGGCATACCAGGCATTGGAACGGCTTCGTTGCCGGTTGAGCCCTGATGTCGACGATGTGCTCAACTCCGTCGCGACACTTCAGACGCCATTCCTCCCTGTCCCGGGCGATGTCATTGAAGTCTTCAACTGGATTGCCGATGGAGGTACGGTTAGTCTTACACACACACATAGCAGCACACACACATACACATATACACACAGACACACCCACGCACACACACACACACACACACACACACACACACACATGCACACACACACACACACACACCCCCCCCCCCCCCCCACACACACACATACACACACACACACACAACATGCACTCTCCATGTCATTCGGCGTTTTCTCGACATCGGCGTCCGACACCGAAGACCTTTAGCAGATCAACCGCGGGCAGCGCATCCCATAGCTGCACGCATGTGTCGGCCTCGAGAGGGTTGCGGGTCACGGCCAGCGGTGGTGATGCACGACCGCCATCTTGTACTCTTCGGTTACCATGGCTGCAGTCTTGTACTTGTCTGTCAACATGGCCACCATCTTGTACTCGTCTGTCACCATGGCCGCCATCTTGTACTCGTCTGTCACCATGGCCACCATCTTGTACTCGTCTGTCACCATGGCCGCCATCTTGTACTCGTCTGTCACCATGGCCGCCATCTTGTACTCGTCTGTTACCATGACCGCCGTCTTGTACGCGTCGGTTACCATGACCACTGGACTGGCGGCGTGCCGTCCGCTCTTGGCTTCCCGTGCGTTGGCGGCCGAACAGTGTGAAGCTTTGCTGCGACTGTCGCCGCCCAGAATGCTGGTCGTCCACGACTGACGCGTAGGATGGATCGGCCTGGACAATCACGAACGAGCTGTCATCGTCTTCGTCGACGGTGGTCGTACCAGCTGGTGTCGTGCGTGGTGGGTGCGGGGTTGCAGGCACATGCAGACCACCCGCATTATACCGTGACCTCGCCCCAGCAAGGCCCGAGCCCTGGGATCGCTGCAGCAGTTCAGGTTGACGAGACCCGGACGACGGGGTCGAGAAGCTCCTGGGAATAGCGGAAGGCGGCACACAGGACATGGACTGCGTGACCGGGGATCTCTCGCCGGGGGACGCGTCGTGCTGCGTGTGCACGGAGTGGTGCGACGACGTAGAGTCAGCGGTGCGCGGAAATGTTGACGGTTGCGCGGGCTGGGTTCCGCCGCCGTGGGGTACAGAGCGTGCTACCAACGCAACGCCTTGGCTATTGGGCGTGTGGCCATGATCGGCACCGGGGCGTGAAGATGAAGGACGCTGCTGCTGCTGTTGTCGTGAGTCTGGTATGCCGCTGGGGGCGCTCACGGAGTGGGAATAGCCAGACACGACCGACGGTGCTACCCATTCCGGCGATGCGGCTTGGGATGCCTGCTGCACTGCTGCTGCTGCTGGTGGTGGCGATGATGATATGGGAGACTGCAGCATGTCCTGTGTGGTGAAGTGCTGCCAAGACGTGGTGCAGTCCAGCATCAGGTCTTGTTCGGATACGGCGGTGCTCGTCGATCTGCCCACCAGAGAGAACGGGCCACTGTCGTCAAAGTGAGGCGAGCCGTCACCGCAGGATATGACCACACGCCGCTGTACTCCTTTCATCGTCACCAGGCTGCCCGTATGCAGCGCAGAGCTTGAACCCGTATGTGAATAGAGACAGCCAAGGTAGCGTGGCCGCTCATACTCACGAGCTCCACCGGCTGTCAACCCAGGCAACGTTCTGTTGTTCCTTCTGCTGCTGGACTCATCGAGTTGTCGTGGAAACGGCTTGGTCGGCGCACCGCTCAGCATGTAGAGCAGTATCATACCACTACGCGTAATCAGCCACATGACATCCCCGGAAATGGTCACGTCACGTATGCCAATCGCGTCCACGTCCAGCTGCTGCCGGGGTTGCAGACTTACTCGCTGGCGTGTCTCGCTCACAGCTTGTCTCCAGTCGGCGCTCAGATCCAGGATGAGGGCTGGCTCGGGTGCCGCGGAGTTCTCGCCGTCTTCATTCGGTACCGGCATGCTATCTGGCCACGCCACGACGGCGAACGAATCGCGATACACGACCCACACCAGGCCCTCGGCTGGCGAGTGAGCGAGCGACAGGCCCTCGACGTGGCCCCCCAGTGGGCATGGAAGCACTGCGAGTGTCTTCTGACGATCAGCAGCCTCCAGGATGTGCACTCGGCCGTCCAGGGCCAGGCACCAGAGATGCGCCGCGCCTTGCAGCACGAGCAAAGACACCAGCGGGCTGTCGGCACCCACCGGGATAGCCGTGCCAGCTGGCTTTGCTCGCTCCTGTGCGCCCGACGCACGTCGCGGTCGTTGATTCACACGCGGCTCGGAGCTGAGGTCGCACGGGTAAACGACCATATTGCCCGTGTCAAGGCCGACGTACACTCGACACGTGCCCGCAACAATGCACGTGGCACGGCCAGCCAGTGGCAGGCAGGAATGGAGGATGGCGGGCGTGCGGCGTGCGTAGTCGACAACGTACACACAGTGCTCCTCCATGCCCATCCACAGGTGCTTGCTGGCAGCCACCAAGCAGCAGCAGGTCGCGCGAGCATCCCCCAGGCGTAGCTCCACGGCCATTGCAGCAGCAGCTTGCGCCTGTTCGCCAGCTGTTGGCTTGCCGGGAGTCTGGCTGATCGGTGGAGACGTCGGAGTCATTGCGGATGGCTTTCCATAATTTGCCGCCGGCAGTTCCGGGTTCGCCGGTGGCACAGGTAGAAGTGTTGGTAGCCCAGCGACACCGGGCTTCATCGCAGTGGTTGTCAGCGTGCGATCCACTGGTGCCATGCGTACCACTGTGCAGCATTGCCGGCGATCATCCTGCTCCTCAGCGAGCCGGTCGTATCGTTCAACGGTCAGCCAGTAGTGTGACCGATGATAGGCATCGCCCGGCTGCGGCACGACAGACACGTGCTGGAGAAACGCAGGCGCCGCCAGTGGCATGTGATCAACGAGCAACAGCGACTCGCGCTGCGCAAGATGCCGATGCAGGAAAGCGGCCTGCGGGCGTTTGCTCACGTCATCGTTCCAGCTCTCACGAGCGGCACGCATCAGCAGGGGGCAGCCAAAGTCAGCCAGGTCCAGGTCCGGTCTTGCCCCAGCCATGACATGCTCTTGCCACTCGCCCCTCGTCCGCCCGTGCAGAACGGACTTTCCGACGATCAGCTCGTAGAGGACGAGAGCGTAGGCGAAGATGTCCACCGGGAATCCGTAGCGCGGCGTTGGCCCAGATTTCTGCTTAGTCAGCTCCATGGCACGGAGTAGTTCCGGTGCATGATACTCCTCCGTACCCTCCACTTCAGTCAGGCCAGACTGTGGCATGCCAACGGCTGTGCCGAAATCGGTCAGCTTGACATGACATTGGCGACAGTTACCGTCATCGGCAGCTTGCAGTTCGTCACGGAACACGAGCACGTTGGCGGCTTTGATGTCGCGGTTGACGATTCCACGCCTGTGCAGGGCCAGCAGTCCGCTAATCACCTCCGCAGCCACCGTAGCCATGTAGACCCGCGACAAGTTGCCGTGACGATGCTTGATCAGGGAGTCTAGTGAGCCAAGCGGTGCCATCTCCAGCAGCATTGCCGTCGGCGGGCTGATGCCCAGAAGGCGAACGAAGAATACGCTACTACGGCCGGCCTGTCTGTCGTGCTGTTGCTGTTGCTGCTGTTGCTGCTGTTGCTGTTGTTGTGAATCGGCAAAACTGGCCGGTCGAAGAATGGCAATTTCTCGACGCAGCTCCGCAAACGTCGATAGAGGCTGCAGGAAGCACAAAGGCACAGAACACAGAACCTAGCATTGTTGGCAAGTCCCGAGACGTCACATAAATGCACGCATATATCGCGGGGTCACAAAGAACAACACCCGTGCCACGGCTATCTGTAGAGGTCACCGGCCATTCACAAATGCCAGAGTTGGAGGGAATGCGCTCCAGTGGGATGCAACCAACTTTCCTATAAATTATCGAGTACTGTAATTTCACAAGTTTTCGGTGTACTTTCATTTTCGGTACTTTCGGTGCGTCCGTTTCATACCTAAAATTTCAATACACCGAACAAACACTAACACATATAATCCAATGGGGAACTGCTTCCCCGGTGTACCAAAAAATTCTGTCCACCTAACCTAGGCTTTTGCTCTCATACCGAAAAAATATTGAGCACCGAAAATTTCTGAATTTAGAGTACAGTATACTGAAGTATACCCGTAATCAAATCGACTATGTCATGATCAGCAAATCGTGGTTCTCAAGTGTGCTGGATTCCAGAGCTCGCCCCGGCGCTGAATGTGACACTGATCACCATCTAGTTACAATGAAGTTACGCTCCAAGCATTTCCGTAGGGTTCGATGCAAGTCTATGGCTGTGCAACCGTTCGACGTGGCGAGGTTGCGGAATCCTGACGTCTCGGAAAAGTATTCAGTGGCGACTGAGAATCGTTTCAGCTTGCTGCAGGACCGGTACAATGAGGAATGCACACCAGATGAATTGTGGGATCAGATTCAAGCGGGAATTTCGGAGGTTGCGGAGGAAGTAGTTGGGCGCAGAGGAAGGAAAAAGCCTCCCAAGCCATGGATCAGTGAGGAGGTGATAGCTCTGGCAGAAAGAAAGCGTATAGCCAGATGCACCGGTAAGGACCAAGAATACAAGGATCTGAAACTAGAAGTGCGCCGAAGGATTCGCTGTGACAGGAGAAAGTGGTTAGAGGATAAATGTAAACACATTGAATCTTCTGGGAGGAACCATGATATCCGAGAGGTATTCAACACCATTAAATCCATTAAAAAATCATCGTTCCGGCCAAATCAAGCATGTATCAATGCTGCTGATGGCACGACCCTGACGGAGAAGGAAGATGTATTGCTGCGGTGGTGTGAATATGGGCAGCAGCTATTTGGGCAGCCGTCAGGAGATCAAGGGTATACGTGTCCGGCCTCGGCGGAGAGTGGTGCGGAAGAGCTTCCATCGCCACTAATTACCCCTGAACCTGTGCCTCTCTTGGCTGAGGTTGAGCAAGCCATATTGTCCCTGAAGAAGAGGAAAGCCCCTGGACTTGATGGGATCGTGGCGGAACTGATTCAGCATGCATCCTCAGTTTGTGTTCTATTCCTACATAAACTTTGTTTGGAGATTTGGAAAACAGGGAGATGGCCAAAAGCATGGAAACGTCAAGAAATCGTCATGCTACCCAAAGCTGGATCAGCTAAGGAGTGTTCCAACTATCGGACCATTGCTTTGATGTCACATGCAAGCAAGATCCTTCTGACAATAATCTTGAATCGTATGAAAAAGAGGATAGAGGCTGAGTTACCAGATGAGCAGGCTGGTTTTCGAGCTGGTCGCAGTACTGTAGATATGCTCTGTGTTCTGCAAATCATTATCGAAAAATCTCTTGAATGGCAGAATCCTGTATCCATTGTTTTTATCGATTATCGTAAAGCCTTTGACACAGTTAACCACTCACACCTTTTCGGTTGCCTTTTGGATTTTGGTTTCCCTCGCCACATAGTTTGTTTGCTTCAGAATCTTTACACAGGGATGAGCGGAGTTATCAGACGGAATGGCTCGCATTCGCCGGAGTTCGCCATCAAGAAGGGTGTTCGGCAGGGCTGTATTTTGTCCCCACATCTATTTAGCCTGTACACTGAGAGTGTTATGCGTGTTGCTGATGTGGACAGTATCGGTGTGAGAATCGGAGGACGCCGGCTGTCGAACCTACGATATGCAGATGACACGGGATTGTGTGCACATCCATCAGAAGTGTCTACCCTCACCAATGCTGTTAATGACGCTGGAAGAGAGAAGAGCCTGTCACTGAATCTGTCCAAAACCAAGATCATGCATATCGGAACCTGTACTGCTGGTGCAAACGATACTGCTCCAACGCCCCTTGTGGTCGACGGAGAACGAATTGCAGAGGTGAGCAGTTTCAACTATCTGGGATCCTGGAAGACAACAAACGGTGATTGCAGCCTCGATATTCGGTCAAGAATTGCCATGGCGAAAGAGCGTATGCTGCAGTTAATTGACATCTGGAAAGACCACAACATCTCCAGACAGCTGAAAATCCGGATAATGCATGCCTTAGTGTGGTCTGTCCTGCTGTATGGAGCTGAGAGTTGGACTCTGCGGAAGACAGATGAACGACGAATACAGGCAGCAGAAATGTGGTGCTACCGACGTCTGCTCAGAGTATCCTGGATGGAGAAGCGCACAAATGACAGTATCCTGGTGGAGTTGGGAGTACAGAGACAGCTGCTAGCCAGGGTCAAGATACGCAAACTGACCTATTTCGGGCACACATGCCGCCCATCTGGCTGCGAGCTTGTACGTGACGTGATGTTTGGTGTCGTGGATGGTAAGAGAAAGCGTGGTCGTCCGAAGATTTCCTTTGCTGACAACATCGTTTCGTGGACTGGTATGTCTCTGCATGAGAATTGCCAGTTGGCATCTGACAGAGATGCCTGGCAGTCGCACTGTGCATCTACTGCTTACACAGCTGCATAATGCCGTTTATTATTATTTTTAAAATTTTACTTTTATTATTTTTTCGGCAACGCAGATGATGATGATGATACTGAACAGGGGGAGTGGTACTTTCTTGCAGGTTAGGACTTCTCGTGCGCTCTGGATGGCAGTCGTGAGTGAGTCAAGAGTCAACTCAGCGCAAAAATCGCGAGCTTCAGTGAAGTGAATGGTGTTGGGGGTGCTGCCAAAGAAGGATCCACGGGCGGGATTCAAACCCAGCACCCCTAAAAACAATGATCGACTGTATGTTGTTGTTGAAATTGTATTTTGTATCGCAGACCGAAACTGTACATACTTTTCTCAACATCTTCCGACCCCTGGCCACTCAGTGCGGCGCAGACAGCTCACCTCTAGTCGTGGCGTGCATTTCTTGTTGACCATCATTCGTCCATGCCACGACACATGTTCAATGTCACCGCCACCGCCGCTGGCGATCACACAACTCCCGGTGACCGGGTTGATCTGCTCAATGATGTCCTGCACTGGAGCCAGCATCTCTGATGGAAGATCCTGGGCAGAGTAATAATTACAGACAGAGCAAAGCTGTCATGCATGTGATCAGACACATCGGGCAATTCATCAACATGAATAGTGTCGGCCGATAAGATCAACCCTCCTCCCCCAAAATAGTACCAGCCTCTCCCCCCCCCCCCCCCCCCCCCCAGGACAGTAACACTACCCTCGAATACTACAGTCGTAGCGAAAAAATCCGGCTAAATGCAATGCTAGCTACCGGTAGCTGTGCTGTACTGCATGGGCCGCACGCACTAGTACTAGTGATAGTGCACGGCACATGCTGCCAGGCCTGCATAGACTCAGTGAGTCCAGTGCTTGACCCGACTGCATGCAGCAGGCAGAGAGTGCAGCGCAGACCGGAGACCATGGAGAATGTTCAGTTCAGTGCCGTCATGGTGCCAGTGCAAGTGGTGGTGGGCATGGTTCATGAACGATGAAGCATACCGCCGGTGAACGCGTACCTACCTGCCATACAACTGTACGCGTATCCATGGCATCGACCAGATTTTTTTGGCGACGACTGTACAACACCCTCCCCGATACAGTAACACTTCCCTGATATAGTAAATACCCCCTCCCCCCCCCCCCCCCCCCATACAAGAATCCCCCCCCCCCCCAACACACACACACACACATGGTAAACACTACCCCAATAGAGCATCCCCCCCCCCCCCCCCCCGACACAGTAACACCCCTGCAATGCAGTAACATGCATGGTACACAATAACAGCCCCCCCCCCCCCCTCCCCCCCCTTCCCCGCCCCACCCCCATACAGCGGAATAAAACACAGCACAAGTATACGCCTTACCAGAAAGAGCAGGTCGGGTGCAGCATCGGTGATTGCCTGATCCATAGCGGCATCATTGGTAGCATGCTGTAGGCAATAGTGGATGTCAGATGCAGCTGATCCCAGTAGAGACTGAACACGACAACAAAAAGAAGGTTACACGCTTAGAGACAAAGATTAGCTACGACAGTTTGCCCACTTTCGAAGAAAAAAAAAACTGATCCAAGATGTGCAACTAGCGATGCATGGTCAGCCCTCCGTAGGACGACCACCCACACAAACGGGAATTCCCAGTGTCCTGCACGTTATATCTACTGAACAGGCAGTGATGTGACCAATAGAGTCAAAGATGGTAGCTTGTAGAAAGTAAAAGTAAGTCTTATCATTGCTCTTCTTGACGAAATTTCAATGAATGTGAACATTTTTTTTGCAGTGAGACATTGGTCTGTTAAAAAGAACAGAAGGAGAACAAAGAAGGTCACTTCAAGCGCATCATCAGTGCATCATCGTATTGAAACCCTCGAAATACGATCAAGGAGCTTACTAAGTGGACTTCGACACTACTCTTGGAAAATCACACATCGCATGGATAGCCCTGCCACGCGAATCGTGATCCGACATATTTATTTAATCACCTCAATCTCATAGCATACGCAAGCAGCGCTAATACGGGGTGCAACCCCAAAGATGAGCGTCATACCCAGCCATGGCAAAAGCTTTGCGACTTACCTCGGCAATAGCCGAAATCGAGTACAGATGGCATGGCTGCGCCACTGCCGCCGCGGACTCCGAATCCGTATTTCGAAAAGCTTCGGCCAGACAGCCCTGGCACGGTGCAAACTGCTCCACACCAGAGTCATCTTCCGGCGCCTGGGAAAATGGGAACAGTGACTTCTGTCCAAACACCTTGTCCAGCAGGAGCTGAACTTGCTCAATCAGCATGCTGAGACGACGGATGCCTGGAGCGAAAAAAAATAGACATGCAGCGTGAGTGAAGGAGACGGATGCTACATGTACTTCTCAGATGTTCTGATGTCTCTGGATCAAGCTTTGACACGAACAGGCCGGGTTTCATTTTTTCAATGTTATCTCCAGGCATGAAGGCTCTACATGATAGCAGTCCACATTAGCAGACCAAGGATTGCGTGAACATTGGCAGAACTACATTCGTGGCCAAAGAAATCCGCCCGCGAGCCGAACGCATCGTCAAGGTTCATGCTGCCCCCTCCAGCCCTCCGATGAGTTTTTTTGTTTTTGTGTACTGTACATGATGTAAATGAAATGGGAAAGAGGCGATACTATAATCGTGTGTCAGATTTCTTTGGCGGTGTCTTTGGCTGGTTAGCTATCATGCAATTCCGGGAAAACAGTAGCCAATGCAACAACACGCCAAATGTGATAAGAAGACTCTCATAACAACCACCTTCACTTCCTTTCCCCAGGGGACTCCCTTTGACAGGCATCCATATGCCTCTGGAGAATCCTTGAAAAATATAATATCAAATAATATCAATCAAACACGGGACTCGACCGACCTTGCCGGCCGCACTTGGTGACTGCAATGCAGAGAGTGCTGTCCGCCGACAGACCATGTACTGACGGTAGCAAGCCCGGCGCTGCCGACTGCTGGAAGACGGCGAAGAGCAGTGCGTGCCCTCGCCAGGCAGCAATGCCATGGCGCCAGGCGGTGAGCCGTACCTGCTGAGACAGGTCTTCGCCCATGCTATCGACGAAACTGGCACTGCCGTCGGCCATGAGGTCCTGCAGGGTGGTGTATGTGTCGGGGAAGGCTTCGTTGCCGTCCATAGCTGTGGTAAAGAAAGGGAAAGAAAGAAAAACAGATATACACACACAGACACGTATACACGCTCATGCATACACACGTATGCAGGCAGAGGCACCGGCAGGTCGACCGTAAACGATTTATGTGAGCAGGGTGGAGAACCTGATAAAATTAACGAGAGAAGAGAGAGAGAGAGAGAGAGAGAGAGAGAGAGAGAGAGAGAGAGAGAGAGAGAGAGAGAGAGAGAGAGAGAGAGAGAGAGAGAGAGAAAGAGAGAGAGAGAGAAATACACACACACACACACACACACACAAACACAAACGTACAAGCACATACTCACACACACACACACACACACACACACTCACGACTCACTTTGCGCAGGTCCAGCCAACTGCTGCTCATTGCCAACTCGACTATGGATCCCTAAATCACCACCACTCGCTGCTGCGACACTTGGCACCTCATTCCCGTCCTCTTTCACTGTGATTGTCGTCGCAGTCTCCGTAAAGTCAGAGAGGTTATCAATGACACTGGACTGTAGGAGATGGAAAAACCCAATCGGCCACGGCTGGCGGCCACTGGGTGCTGTGAACAGACGCAGGTGAATGCATGCCGGTGGGTGCAGTGATCTGGCCATCGCTACACATACTGTCCTGGGCAGCTCCTTGGGTACCTGAGAGAAGTCACAAAAATAAATAAATTACGCATACACAGTACAGAAAACTTGGTGTAAGCGACCTCTGGGTTTAGCGACCACCTGGTCTCAACCACCGTTTTTCCGTGCACGGACAGTTCTACACAGACACTGTGGGACCTGGTTCCAAAGACCACCTGGCTTTAATGACCGCTTTTGCTTGCGCCGTGGGGTGGTCGCTTGAACCAGATTTTACTGTAGTTAATATTGAGAAGAAAGGACCAAAGGTTTACAAGTTAGCCGTAGTTGTCCAACACTGGCAATTGTAAGCTTGATATTGATGAGTCCGTGGCTCTCCATCCGAGATTAGTGTCAAGTTTGCCGGATTCGCAGCTGCATCCCCTGACGTGTTGCGGAACACATCAAGCCAAGACATTCGCATCGGCGGGACACCACTTTGTCCATATATCCTCAGTGTCGAATGAAGACCTTACATTTTTTTGTTACCCTAACTATATCGCTGCCGAGATGCCTAAAATTGTGAAAAGCCGAAATCTTGTCTATCAGTTTACAGCACATGTGCACACACACACACACACACACACACTCACACACACACACACACACACACACACTCACACACACACACACACACACACATGCCACCCCCCACACACACACAAACACACCCTACCCCCCCCTAACTTACACATACCCCCCCCCCCCCCCTCAAACTTACACCCCCCCCCCCCCTCACACACAGCCCACTGGACTCACCCATAGTGGCAGGAATACGCGATTGCCGGGCGCGCCGTACGCCAGGCCAAAGTAGGCACCGAGCTGCATTGCGTAGCGATGACGAAGCTTGCTGCGAAAGTCACCCAGGCCGTACATGGTGGCGGCATCAAGAATGATTTCAGGATAGATCCCCGGCGCGCCTTTGGTTGGATTGCTTTGCAGATACTGAGAGCAAGGGCCAAACGTATCCTAAACAGACGATAGAGAAGAAGAAGAACAAGGTGAAAATGAACACAATCGAAAACGTAAAAAAAAAAAAGGAACAAAACACATGAGAACGAACTATGCAGCAACTATCCACGTCTGTAACAAGATGATCAACAGTCAGAATGTGCGACAATAGGGCACACAACTGACCAGCTGCTGAGACATTCGGCAATCGAAAACGTTGACACCACGACAAGAAATCATGCGCGCACCTACACGAGCTCTGTACAGTTTTCCCATGGCAGTGTACAAGAGAACATGCACTGTAGAACTCGGATAAGATGTACTCGCATGGGCAGCAGGAAATGTACCCAGCGTCCAAGGTCGTTCTTAGTTCTTGTCCCCCAAACCCCCTATGTATACTTCAGTATGGATCGAGACGCCTGTTTGAGTGAGATCCCAGTGCCCCGTGGCACAACCCTTGCGACAGACACAAGCTCAGAATTTCTCTTGTTGGTTAGAAGGTCGGTTCCTTATTGATCTGCCCCTGCTCTCGGGAGTCGTATGATTATCAGAAAGGTACAAGGTGAGTCGTATATGTAAGGAAAAGCACAGTGTCGTCCTCTTTACGGAGATGACACAGTGGGTGCCCAAACGAGTAAGGCACAAACGAAAAGGATGCTGCGAATTAGTGCAGTCATTCAGCAACAACGCCCCTGCTCTAGACAATGTCTAGACTTAGCATGCATGGTCTGATCAGCGTACATGATATTAAAGTGAGTTGCACAGTAGTAACTCACCGTAAGGGTTTGGAAGAGGCGAGCAGGCATGAAGAAGAGCGTCTTATCCAGACCATGTAGTGACGACGATAGGTACAGCAGGTGGCCATCTTGCTGCAAGAACGAGAGCAGAGAGCCCACCGCCTCCTGATCGTAATCCTGCTGCGCGATGATGTGTTCGAGCTGCACGCACAAACAAGAACATAGTCGCAGAGCTGCTGGCGTGGGTGCTGCTAACGTCCATGCACACCAGTATACACATTGGGGGCATACAAAATCCAACCCCACGAATACTGGAGACTCGCATTCACAGCATGGCCCTATTACTTGAGCTGCTAGGTTGGCACGGCCAGCGTAGCTGTCATATGCATGAGGCTGGATTTCAGTCGCTCCCAGTGTGCATGCACAAGAATAGACTAGCTCTGACCCTCCACTCTCATATTTCTAACCCTCAACACAGTGTAGTGACGCGGCTATAGAAAGTCACAGCTTCACCATGCAGCAGCGAAGTTAGTACCAGTAGAGATCCACAGTCCAATTGAAAAGCTTTGATGCCCTTGCCTAGCAACCCCGTCTCGAGATTTCCAGGAGCAGCTAGCGATTGTTGCAACATTTTCACTAGCGCTCGACAACATTCTTGTGCTGGTCCTTATAGCATTGATGGTACAAAGTAGAGACTTTTTTTTCGCAAATCCGGCATGCTCTTTGCAGACCAAAACAGGACCGGTGGAAAGTGGTTGATTGGTCCGGGCCGCACTACAGTTCTTCATACTTCCTAAGAGTTATCGCGGGTACACATGAATGACCTACACGGCAGGAAACATGGGTTGGCGAGCAAACAGTTTGGTCCGGGCATGGCGTGACCAACCGGCCCCCGGTTCCGTCACCCCTGCCAAGTTCTACTCACGTGCTGACAACCTACCTTCTTCTGCATGAGGACGTCGGCCGCGCGCTTCTTGGCGCGCAGGCGATTGCGCAAGGTCACCTGATAGCGCGGTACGCCGTGCAGCATCTGGAACGCAGCGTTCATTGCAGTGGCATGGCGTGCCAGCCGCAGCACGTACTCGGGACTGTGCAGCAGTACACGCAGGCAGTAGGGCTGCAGAGGAACACAAGCAGAATCGCTTGTTTTTCTTTTAATCTTTTCCTTTTTCCTTATATTTGTGTGCCTGTAGTCAATCTCATGCAATTAAGCAACACTGCCTGTTTGTCCTTTGACGTTAAATAAACCAATCCAATCGCCGGCACGGAATGTAAAATTTGTGAAAAGACCATCACCTGTCTCTTGCTGGTAATTCTGAGGCAGAGGGTGGTATTGTTAGCTGCTCCCGGCTAATGAAGTCCCCCCCCCCCCAAAAACACAGGGGTTTTATGTATTGAATTATGGAAGTACAAGAGTGTAGACAAGAAGGAGAACAGGACAACGACAACTATAGACTAGACTAGAACAGGACCACTGAAGCATGCGCTCTTCTGTACGTGAGTGGCTCTCAATGCCAAGGGGAACGAGCGGGAAATACGAATAGTGAGTATGTACAGGTCGTAGCATACATACACCTATTACAGTATTACGGGTAGGGAAAAGGTGCTCAGTGAGCGTCTTATCCAGTTTTAATGCTTGTAATAACGGGTGTGGGTGGGTGGACATCTACCACATAACAAAGGACGTCATCGCATCAGAGACACATCTTTGTAGAGTGCGAGGTGTACGGTGTCGAATGTCCCCAATCAAGTGACTAAACATGCTGCGTGATCATGGTGTGACTCTGCTTGAAACCCATGGTCGAGACTGAAAGCAACTGGACGACAGGTAGAATCCCCCGGCCAACAATGCCACCGGCAAATCAAGCATCACACACCCCAGTGTCGGTGTAAACAGATCTGTGCTCACACATCTTCTGTTCCTGAATGACAGAACAGTAGTAGTAGTCGTAGTCATTACGTAGCCAAGTCTTTCCTTACCTGGATTCCAATGCCGCTGGCCAGGCTTTCAAAATGTGCAAGGTGCGGGGTTGCTTTGCTGTGAAGCTCTTCGTACGTCATTGCACTGTCGGCGGACACCATGGCAAGAATCACCTGGAACAAGAATGAAATCAAATCACAAGGCAGTGCAGATGGAGGCGATATCAAGAATTATGAGGCAATGGACACGGCTAGCATTTTACCGTTCACGCTACATCCAACGTTTCTCGTACCCAGCACCCAAAATACCGTCGGTTTGGTATCGTTTCGATGATAGAAAGCTCTGTTTAACAGGAGAACAAAACGGTAGGGTACCCTGTAAGAAGGCCTTAGGCCTGTGGGGATTGATTGCCCTATCAAAAATTTGATAATAGTAATAAAAAAATAATAAGATTCAAACCAGGGTGACGTCACAAGTCGATCGTTGTGTCAGAAACCGAAATGCTAATCATGTCTCGAAAACACACAAAAACCGGTGCAGGCCGATGGTCGAAGTTAGGTGAACAGTAAAATGCTAGCCATGTCTAACGACGTGCCGTGCAGTTTGCAGTGATTGAAGTGTCCCAACGTCACACTATGGACTATAAATAGGCCTGAGTGATATCTCAAATTGGGGCCGTAATATACTGTAAAGGCAGCAATTTTCGGTGGTGTAATATTTTCGGTATTCTCCGAAATCGGCGGTTCGGTGGAGGGAAATTTTCGGTAAAACCCGTTTTCCAGGTATGTGTACTAGTACTACAGTGCTAGCAACTGAAATCCGACCCCTGAGCGGTGGGTTCACATTCTAGCGGTCTCCGTTTCGTAGTTTTACCATCCCGTGTTGGGTCTTTGCGATGTGAGCGCATCGCTCAGGGGTCGGATTTCAGTTGCCAGCACATGTATACAGTACCGGTAGTACCGAAATTTTCGGTGCGTTTTATTTTCGGTAAAAATTGTCGGCACCGAAGTTACCGAAAATAAAACACCACCGAAAATTTATGCCTTTACAGTAGTAGTTTCAATTTCCTCGATTTTTGTCCACCACATCACGTTCTTCGCAGTACATGTACAATAAAGCTGTTCTGAAATGTCGATTCAGTTGGTCCTGTTGATTGCTTTCCCCAAATTGCTATCTCAGATTTCAAAATTGTTTTTTCAAATTCTCGTCTCGACTTGACCTACCTGAAACTCTCCCAGACCTGGTGGGTCCTGGCCAGTTGCTGCAGAAGCGTCGGCAGTAGCAGCCCTCGGCGATGTGATGGCGTTCCTGATCTGTTTGTCCATGAACTTGACACATGTCACGGCATTAGAGATCGGCTCATCTAACAACAGTGATTTCATCAGAAATGATTTTTTTATTCATACGGTGTCAATCGATGGAAACAATGTGCAAAAACAAAAAGAAAAGAAGATGGGATAGTGAAAATACATGTGACAATGAAGAAAGATGCGAGCACGTTTTCGTACAACAATCATCAGGAACCATCATTGTACTTATGGACAATGCAAAACAAATAAACTTTTAATTCCCTCCACTAATGCACCTTCCAATGGCAGTTCTAGCATATCAGACAAAGTGTTGATCCAGCGCTATCATAAACACCATCCACACCAGCGCCCGTTGTTTCCCTGCACCCTCCCCCCCCCCCTCCTTTTTTCCTGTCTTATTTCGACGTATTTCAACGGGGATTCCCCTAAGTTACCCAGTCCACGTTGGTCTCCTGGTTGTGGGGATTTCCCTACAGTAACCCAGCCCACATTGGTCTCCTGGTTGTGGGGATTTCCCTACAGTAACACAGCCCACATTGGTCTCCTAGTGGTGGGGAATTCCCTACAGTAACCCAGCCCACATTGGTCTCCTGGTTGTGGGGATTTCCCTACAGTAACCCAGCCCACATTGGTCTCCTGGTGGTGGGGAATTCCCTACAGTAACCCAGCCCACATTGGTCTCCTGGTTGTGGGGATTTCCCTACAGTAACCCAGCCCACATTGGTCTCCTGGTTGTGGGGAATTCCCTACAGTAACCCAGCCCACATTGGTCTCCTGGTTGGGGTGCCCTATGCCCGCAACTTACCGTTGTCGACATCGCAGACAATCAGAACGTTACAGTGCTTGGCGTCGAGGACTTGCATGAACAGACAGAATGTGTCCAAGTTGCCAAGGTCCAGCAGTCTCGCTCCGCACTCCGGTGTCTTCTGCAGCTGAGATACCAGCTGAGAGCGCAGCTCGTGGGACTCGCCAACGACGACCGTCTGCACAGAGTGGCACAGACAACAGCAGTTGTATGCATGCAGCAGGACAGCTAGCAAGAGAAAGAGAAATGGGTTTGTTCCTACTTTTGACGGCTGTGGCTATCCGTTGACCCAACGGTATTCTTGCGAGTACGGCGTGTGTTTGTGCTGCCAGCTCGCATCCTGCGCGCGAGTGAAACCGATCTTTGTCAAAAAGGCTTTCGCTCTTTAGTGCTACTGACTGGCTTTTCATGCAATGCCTATTGATGTCTAGGGACAGACTGTCTAGGACTAGCCTTCCCCTGGTACGCATTACGCAGGGCTTTGTTGAAGTTCGTACCGTGAACTGCCAAAGGGAAATGTTTGAATGGTGCTGGGGCGGGTGTGACATTACGGTGTCCCTGCAGCCGGTCTAACCGCGTTTGTTGCCAAAACCGACTTTATCAGCATACACAATGACATCAGTAGCATAATATATGACATCATCAGGGTGCATTACGACGTCATGACAGCACGCACACCTCAGTTATCTCGGAATTGATTACAGTTTTCCAGGCCCTTCTATGTACAGGACCTCGACTAGCTAAACATACGGTTCTTCGCAAACACAGCAGCAATGTTATCCAGAGAAGCGATACCTGCCGCTCACCGAAAACACTCTCTGAGAGGACGTGTCGAGAATCCGGCTGCGCAGGTACTGGACTGCCTTGCTGGCCGGGTGCTGGTATTCCTGAGGTGGAGTGTCCAGCGACAAGCGATGTGTGACAAGAGTTCTCAGCTTGCTGAGATGTCCCATCTGCACCGGCAGGTCCGTGATGAGGCGATTGCCGCTGATGTCGAGCTCCTGCAGGCGTCGCAAGTGGCCGATGAACTCCGGCACACTGGAAATCTGCTCGTTGTTGGCGATGTTCAGACTAAGCAGCTGTGTGGCCGTGCGCAGAGCGCTCGGTACGTCCTTGAGGCGATTCTCAGAGATGTCCAGGTGCGTGAGAGAGCGTGCCCAGACGACGTCATCCGGTAAACCACTGAGCTTGATCTGTCGCAGCTTGAGCACGCGTAGCTTCGGCATTGCGCACAGGCGCGCCAGCTGGAGCCGAGGCGATCGTTCTTTGTCGTTGTCAAGCGGATTCTCGCTCAGATCCAACTCCTGCAGGTTTCGCAGGTGGAATATGGCGTTCGGAACGCTGGCCTGTGCGTTACAGCGCAGGTTCAGGCTCGTGATCCACTGACCAGCCAGAACGTGCTCGCTCCTGTCAGTGCTCGTTTGGCAAACGAGTGCGTCGCGCAGCAACCACGAGTCCCAGACGAGGCGCAGCTGCAGCTGTTGCCAGTCCACCGTGCCCGCCTGCTTGTTGCAGTCCATGTTGGACAGGATCACACCGCACATGTCCATGAAGCCGTACAGCTGAGCAACCTACACACACACACACACGCACACACACACACACACACACACACACACACACACACACACACACACACACACACACACACATACACACACACACATACACACACACAAGCACACAACTGTGTAACCGCGGTGTTGAAGCGCACGTGCAAACTTAACAGTTTACTTCACACAGCTCTGGATGCTATGTTGTGATATGAGCTAGCGTGTTGTCTTATTTTTATTTATTTATTTATCGTGTCCACTTCATGGCACATCATAATATATCGCCAATACAAGAAAGGGAGGGTGGATCCAACCACGGAGAATAGCATTATCAAAAGAAGAAAAGGAAGGGAGGTGGCATACATGTTATCCTATTCGAATCTTTGTTGCTTTGTTTGGTCAGTCGGGCGGCATTGACATGCATGGAGCAAGTGTAGTCAGGTCCGGTCGAGGCAGCTTGAAGCAGAGTGCTCGATGAACAAATGCGCAGAGCACTATACACAACAAAAAAAAACAGAGCGAAAGGCCGTGTAGCTATGAATGCGGCGGTCTGACGATCAACGAAATGCGTGAAACTTGCAATTACAGCCACACAGCCTTTCGCCTCCATGGTAGGCTTGTTTGCTGCTACTTCAAGTTTCTTGCTCTCGCGATCATCAGGCAACAGGATGCCTGATGATTGCGAGAGCATGAAACTTGAAGTAGCAGCAAACAAGCCTTGATTGTCCTCGTTGTTCTGTTCTGTATTACGCTCTGCCTCCGCCATGGTGTTGAGCACTGTCAGCACACTGGCTACATCCTCCGGTGAACCAAGTACACAATTGTCTTCGCTTTAAAAGTTATCGCAAAGACTCAAATATACACCCACCATTAGCCCCACCCATGTCTTGATCGCCTTGCTCTTGTGTCTCGGGTAGACCAGGTCTCTTTCCTTCTCCAGCTCGCTGTCACTCTGCAGTGTGCGAGCCACCTCCTCGCTGGGAGCCAGTAGAAAGCTGAGCGTACGCAGCAAACAAGCAAACAGACACGAGAACTTTGAAAAGATCCTGGAAAAATCGGGGTTCACGCGAGACTCGGCTGGAGATCTCATCCTCGTTTCAATCCTGGAAAGACTACTCAAACACGTAATGGTAGTATGACTGCCTCTAACGTGAGCCGTAACATTATATAACTATTTGATTGCGAGAGAGAGAGAGAGTTTGGAAGCTTTGTTACAACTCTGAGTTTCACGTATCACTACGATCATCAGGCAACATGGGTATTGAGCACTCTTCGGACAGTGAAGCAAACCACTTGACTACGTATAATTTGATTGGCTAACTTAGTGATCCGTCCAATACCACGGGTAGAGAGGCAAACACTCGCATAGAAATGTGCGCACACCCACCCACACACATGCACACATACACACGCCTGCACACACGCCCACTCACTGAACGCGTTTGTTGTCGTGCTTGCTGATGTGGCAGCATAGCAGCAGGGTGGCAGCTACGTCATCAAATCCCCGCTCTCTAGCTAGAGTATAGCTATTATGCAGAACATGTTCATCACGTAGGCCAAACTGCAGCAGATTCATCACCATGTCATGATTGTTAGAGGCGGCCGCATCCTGAAGAGACTTTCCGATCAGAAATTGCGCAACCTACAAACAGCGTGACAAGAAGACATGCACACACAGTGCTCACACGGCTAGCTGGGATGCACTGTAACAAGCTGAAACATGCATGGAAATCGCCATAGTACATTAAAAAAAACTCTGCTGCGCTCATACCTCATCAATCTAGGTGGTCTGGCACCAGGCATAGCTAGTTACTGCCAAATATCCATAACTCGAAACCGCATTCGACGTCACTATATCCACAAAAATGGCAAGACAGTATCACTATATTTATATCAACAAAAACTAGTGCTGAGTCGGGTAGCATTTTCTTCGGGTATCGGGTTCGGATAATTTTCCACGGGTAGCACGGGTACCCGATCGGGTAACGTTTTCATGGTAACACCACAATGCACCCCTTCCTTTACACACTGGGCAGACATGCGGAGTATTACATCAATTTGTACACGTGCACTGCACTTGATGTCTTCTGCGACTTCGGGTTTTCGGGTATTATTCTCTACCCGTGCTACCCGAGGTCCTCACGGGTAGCACGGGTGCCCGACTACCCGTGCACGCCACTAACAAAAAACCGCCCAAAGGGTGCCAGCTGCGGTTTTCCAAAGTTTCCGGAGTGTAAACCGCATTGGGGTATACACGTAAGCCTCACCCAGAACTTCTGACCCGAAAAACAGACAGCTATCCCATTTCCCACCGTGTATTTGACCATAGTAGTACAAGCAATGACTTTTTTGGGGTGAATTACTGGTGCTCAACGTGTGGCTTTTGCTCCGAAAATACGGCAAGCGTATTATGATACTATACGTGATATCTACTCGCTGTTTTTATTGTCAGCATTGGGACTAGTAAGTCCCCGGCCTACCAAACTAGGAACAATCATTCTATACCGGAATTCTGAAATTTTCATTTGTCTGCAATGTGCCTTCAGAAGCTTAGTACAGTACTGCCAACCCCGCTGCTAAGCCCTCGCCCTTTGTCTTGTTTTATATCATCATCCACATGTTTCCCAGTGGGGCTGTGTTCATAGTGAAAAAATGACATTCTAACCTCTTCAGCTACGTCAGGAGACGCGGCGCTTGTCGTTGATCGGTTGGTACCCTCCCTGTGAAGATCCTGCAGGATACCTGTCACCCTCTGTGCCTTCCTTTCATCCAGTCGCAGCTGGTAGATCTCTGCAATGGCAGCAGTAGTCAATGTGGATGTGGATAGTGGGGATCAGTACGCAAACAGTATACAGCACAATGTCAGTAGGGGCTAAAGCTTGGGGGTGGGGGTGAGGGAGAGAGAGAGAGAGAGAGAGAGAGAGAGAGAGAGAGAGAGAGAGAGAGAGAGAGAGAGAGAGAGAGAGAGAGAGAGAGAGAGAGACAGAGACAGAGAGACAGAGAGAGAGAGAGAGAGAGAGAGAGAGAGAAAGAGAGAGAGAGAGAGAGAGAGAGAAAGAGATGAAGATAAAGAGAGGGTATGGGAGAGAGAAGGGGCGGGGGGCGAGGGGGAGAGCCGTCCCATCGCTTGACCCGTCATCACCTCTTAGCACTAGTTGCCACTGATAGGTGTGTAATGCCAAACGAAAGTGATTTTACAAAGGGGGATATCATTGGATCAGATTTATCCTTTGGCCTACGTTTCTTATGCTCTAAACCAATCGCAATGTTAATAGTAATTGTTGTCATGAAAGTGTCCAACTCACCGCCACAGCGTATGATACGGACCACGTCAGGCAGCTTCATCGCTGCCGCCTGCTCCAGCGCTGTTTTGCCGTCGCAGTTCTTCATGCCCAGCTTCAGGCACGAGCCGGGTCTGCTGAGAAACAGCTTCTTGATGCACTCGTAGTTACGGTTGTACACGGCTACGTGCAAGGGCGTTTGATGAGTTTCCGGCACCACTTCGTTCACCTGGGTGTGGAAGGCAACGAAAATACAGGCCGCTACGTTCAACAGAGAATTTCCCCGGACGAGAGAAATTCTAGCACGGCATCGGTGTCTGCTCTAGGATTTCAAACCCACCGGGTACACGTGTAGCTGTCATGACTACTAACTAGTCCAACCGGGTCAGAGTCGGGTGCGTTCAAGTGCGGCTACCCTACTGCATATACAGCAGGGATCTGAAACTATTTTTAGGACTGTATAAGCAGGTTGATAAATATGGTGGTAAAGACACACCTGGCAATATGGTGGTAAAGACACACCTGGCAATATGGCGGTAAACACACGCCTGCCCACACACGCTCTCTAGGTTGCAAAGTTCTGGCACAGAGCTCTCCTGTCTTTACCACCATATTTATCGACCATAAGTACAGCTGCAGTGGTGTCTTCAATTTCATTGTATAAGCAGGGATGAATTCATCCTGTATCGCATCGCGGTTTGCGATGCAAAATCGATCTACTGCTATTCAAATGTCACCCTGACTCACAGAAAATTGCGATACATACGGGCTATCCATGCCTAACCTGCGCTGACAAGTAACGTGCATATGATCCAGTGTATGTGGTGCAGGTACTCTCAATCTGGGTGCACCTGTATGCTTCAGTCGTTTTTCTGCAAATGGCCTAGTTTTCAGGCATCACTCTCAAGAAGGACAATGCGGTAAACACCCAACCTTCAAAGAAAAATGCTAATTAAAATCAAAGACTGCTACACAATTGTGATTTCGTACAGCAGAAACTGCTATGCAAAAATATGAAATTTAATTCATCCCTGGTATACGTAGAATACTTATGTATAATAATTCCCAACCGGGTAACAAATGACCTGGTGTTCTTTTTCCAAACGGGTCCAAGTACCCCTGAACCGGCTCGCTGACCCGGCTCTAGAGCAGACGCCGAGTGTGTTCCCAAGGTTGCCTGATGGTGGCAATAACCTCTAGCCATGCCCTCCTGTTGTCGTGTGTACTGCACGATCTGCGTGTGTGTGGCAGCCGAGTACTTTCAGCACGGCGTATGTGTGTTTCATCTTGTGTACCACTGCATGTAGGACTGTTTGGTAGTCTTGTTATTTGTACTTCGAAGTATGTGACAGACCTACATACATAATATTACATATTCTGGCACCACCCTAAGAGATTACGTTTGCCAAGTTGATTTTCTCATTATCTTGAAGCGCGCTCCGGTTCAAAATGTAGAAGTCATCCGTTTGCTGCCGATACTGTCACAGGTTTCGGAAGCAATATACGGAATTTCCAACTAATAATAATAATAATATTCGCGGGATCCGCGTCGGCATCGCTTGAATGTTCAGAAACACACAAACTAGCCTTCGCATCCGCAGGCCACCACTATGCCTGTTAACCTTAGTGGCGAATGCAGACCTCACAAGTGAGTCAGGGGAGAGGAGGTTAGTCTCTCAACCAATCGGGCATGTAACGGCCCATAACCCTGTAAACTGCATCCTTGTTATTCTCACTCCGAGCTGTGAGTACCCAGTTGACCGTGGGTGTCGGCGCAGTTCAACACGCGTAAAAAGTCTTTTTACACGCTCCCTGCTACCAGCGCGGGTCTTGAACTCGGGACCTCATGATTCGCAGGCAGGCCTGCAAACCAATCGGCCATATGCGTTGGTCAACTGGTCAACTGGTCTACAGTATTCCGCCGCAGTTCTCATAGCACCGCTAACTAAAATCAGCCATGCTTCTTTAGCATTTTCAACTCGTGGATGAAGATCTAGCACATGACACACCACACACACCCAGTTGCGACCGTGATTTCCTTGCAACGCATCTCTATTTTCAGACAGGACCTGTGCTAAAGTATGCTGCAGCAATAGTAAAATGACTGCCACTCGGCTCAATCAGGGTTGTATCATGTAATTTTAAGGCCCTTGGTGTGCAATTTTTTAGGAGATGAAGAATACTCGAATATTCGATCGGAGAAAATCAGAGTACTCGAACTCGGGATCTCAGTGCCAACTTTCACCCCTAAATAAAAACACAAAACTCCCCAAAACTCACCAAATCAATGTACTTGCCAGTCATATGCTTGAGAAGCAGTTCACAGACGTCGGCGTGTCCGTGTTGACATGCCAAGTGCAGCGGCGTGTAGCCATTGCGACGCACGTCCAGCGCCGGCTGCTTATCCTTGTTGCGAAGCAAGCGTCCCAGTTCCGTGGCCTTGCCGTCCCGACTCAGCGCCAGAACATCGCCTCGCAGCTGCCCGGAGCCGTCTCTACTGGACAAGAACCATGGCATTTTGTAACGCGTAGATCTACGCACTTTAGGCTAGTCTAGCTGATTTGAACCGACCCTCCGAGCAATTCGTCGTCTCTCCAATGGAGAACTTCTCGTCGCACCGCAATGAAAGAACCAAGTGCTAGCAATGCGCTGAAAGCCATTCCGTTCCGACTGCACTGGCTCGCTCTCAGACAGTTTCCACAACGCGAATGAATCGCGAGCAGTGTAGCGAGAACCTGCCATTGTGATACACCTCAAACTGACATTCGACTGGTCTTGTAAACACCAAAAAATTCACTGCCACTGCACTGCTGCCGAAAGTTTTGAACGCTCGGTATTTTACCGGTAACGACTGTGTCATGTCTTTGGACTCAACATGAGAGCTGTTGACGGCACCCGGGGCTTTTGCTTCACCTGTCAGTACTTTGAACTTCTCTGAATGAGCACGATACTCACTTCCCGGATAAACAGGATAAAAGACGAGGACCAAGGCCGAAACTTGTCACGGACCGTGCACTTCTCGACGGGCATCATGCGTCACCTTGGTCACGACATGTCGACAGCGCACTGCATGCAAAAGTGCAGTGCGTTCACCGGAAGACCACTGTCGAGTCGTCGAAGCGTCGTCGACCACCAAGCCAGCTAGCAAAGGCATGTTGCATCATTCGTTTGTGCGGACGTCTGAAAGCCCAAGGCGGGCAAAAGGAGCTCGGAGCTGCTGACTGCTGTGTTCGCTTCCATCCTCTCACAAAACACCCGCCCCGAGTGCCCGTTCTGCCTCCTTTCAGCGAAGGCCCAGTATGCTGCCAGCGCGGGGAAAAGAAGCAAAAGCACAAACAATACATTTGTCACCCCGTTCGATTTGTGGCGACGAGACTAAACTGCTGGCTGGGTACCACTAGTGCACTGATGCAATGAACCGTAGTTTCATCGACCAAATATTCCGTCGACTACCAACTCGGGGAATGAAGGAATATTTTGATAGTCTTCATCTACCAGTAATGCTAAAACATCAACTAGTGCCTTGCGACCTGCGACTTTCTTCACGATGTCGCAGCTCTGCCAAGATTGTGCTGCTCTAGAGGTGGGATCACCCTCAAAGCAGCGCTAAACTTACTTTTCATGCCCCATGTGTACGACTCTTACAGCATTGTAACGTCCTTCGAATTTTCGTGGAGCAAAGTCTAGATCGAACAAATTTCGGATAGTTGTTACATCCGTGTCATTGGGCACCCGTGCATCAGAATGCGGATACCGGTACGCACATTATTCGTTATAGCGTATATTGTAGGGACCGGCGGATTCTGCTCGAAAAGGTGACAGATTCTGCTCGAAAAGCAGTAAAATTGGCAGAACCATACAAACCTTATGGCGGGCAATTCCTCGAATTCTGCTCCATTTCTTTATCCACATACCAAACATGCATGAAACTTACCAGAAAAAGTACCGAATTCTGCCAATTGTTCTGCCGGCAGAATCCGCTGGACCCTAGTTCACATTGCCATTGGTCCATTTTTCTTCTCCTCTTCTTTAACCATATACCAACCTTACATGAAACTTACCAGAAAAGTAGCAAATTCACGGTCATGTTTGTTCTATTAGCATTATCCGCCAAGGACAATTCTCGACACCCGTGACATTGGAAAGCAAAGGTGTCCAAGAGCACAGGTTTCATCTCTAAATACGCATCTTCCTTTAGCCAATCTGGTTAAAGGGGAAGTATACCCTAAAATCAAGTTTTCACCAGTTGTAGTCTTCTGGGTGCTGAGTCGAATGGTCTTGGTCCGAGGAAGCTGCGACGCTCCCTTCCTACTTGAATCCCAATCGAACTCGCGCACTTCCGCCGAAACTGGGTGACTGCGCCCCACGAGATGGGGATTTGTATGCAAAATGTCACTAAAAGCGCCATTTCGTTCTTATAAAAGCACGGATGACCGCGATTGACCCATATGTTGTAGTCTTTTGGACGCTGAGTCGACTGGTTTTGGTCCGAAAAGGCTGCGATGCAGCGTTCCTCCTTTATTCCCAATCGAACATGGTTGAACAAGCGGTCACGTGCTCCTGGGTGCCCAAATCACCTGGTCACCGCGCCAGCAGGCGACAACTTTCACACCATGGTTCAACTCGAGTTCAACTCGAGTGACAGGACTGCACCCAAAAAAGGTCAAACAGGCTAGTAAGTTGTACCCTGCAGGCACGGTGACCAGGTGACTGGTGTACGCAGGAGCACGTGACCGCTTGTTCAACCATGTTCGATTGGGAATAAAGGAGGAACGCTGCATCGCAGCCTTTTCGGACCAAAACCAGTCGACTCAGCGTCCAAAAGACTACAACATACGGGCCAATCGCGGTCATCCGTGCTTTTATAAGAACGAAATGGCGCTTTTAGTGACATTTTGCATACAAATCCCCATCTAGTAGGGCGCAGTCACCCAGTTTCGGTGGAAGTGCGCGAGTTCGATTGGGATTCAAGTAGGAAGGGAGCGTCTCAGCTTCCTCGGACCAAGACCATTCGACTCAGCACCCCGAAGACTACAACTGGTGAAAATTTGATTTTAGGGTATCCTTCCCCTTTAACTTAAATCCGTTTGATTGTTTGAAGGAAGACTTAAAAAAGAAAGAAAAATGGCGAGGAGACAATACTTTGATAACCGCAATCAGTAAGACAAGCTGAATCGACATTTATTTGTCATAAAATTGTCATAATTTTTTTATGAATAAAGTATACACAACTGTCTATTCAGCTTGTCTTATTGATTGAAGACTTTTTTTAATTAATTCATTTAAGACTGAAACGTCCCTAGACTATTGTTGGACAGAACCGGGTCAATTGAACGCAACTACGTACACCTGTATACGTCAAACGCCTCACTTTTACCCAGATACATCAGGCTGCAGGCAGTCATGTGATAATCGTCGGAATCAATCTGACCGCCTCTGATCCAATGAGTATAATTATTATGTCACATCACAAAAAGGAAAATCAAAGAACCGGCCTAGGAAAGCAATGCTCAAGTAGTTAGAAAAATCTGAGTTTTACCTCCTTGTGCTTGAAGTACAGGGAGTCTGAAAGAATTGAGCATCAAGTGAAACTGATGACGATAGTCATGTGCTGTATTTTAGTCAACATTTCCTGGCTCGTCAAACGACTGCCAATGACGAATGAATGTGAAACGAACGGTGATAGCCAACCATGGCAACTATCGATCCGGAACAGAAGAAGAAAAAGGGTAAAAGGCATGACGGAATCAAGAGTCAAAATGCAGTTGTGTAGTGTAACTCACAACAAAGGACAATACATGTAGTATAGACAACAAGATCAAATATACAACCTACTGTAAAGGGCTATTTTAGGCGCTGGCAATGTTCTAGCGAGAGAATTGTTTTCTAGAATCCTGTACGGGTTTTTCTTTAAAGTTTAGCTGCACCAATCGAAATTTTGCATTGAAAAGTGGTCGGAAGAAAATGCTAAAAATTGTAAGCGCTGAAGTTTAATTCGACGTTCTACAGCAGCTGCTCTACTGCTAGCACTAGTCCCCGTCCACGTTACCTAGCCGGTAGCCATGGTGATGATGGAATGATGTCTAATGATCGTGTAGGATGATTGCAAGCACGTGGGCCAATGTCTGAAACGCACATGGAGTGTGTTGTTGATACCTATACTTGCTGTGCCTTTTAAGTTCGCCACGAGTAACACACCAAGTGCTTGGAAAGTATGACACTGCCACAAGGAAATTGCTAGGGACAAGGATTTTGTACCGCCGAACAGCTAATCTAGGGCACGGACCTAGCTTTTGCTTCCGTGCGGAGTGGACTGTAGCTACACCCGAGTGCGTGCACGCTCACGTAGGATTCCGAATGGATCCCGCTCGGCACGCTGCGAGCACGCCGTCTTGCTTTCCAGCGCAAAGTGATAGGTGTTGGCGGGCTTCTCGTCCACGTAGTGCAGCACCGGTATGTCTGCACTGGTGCTGCATTGCAGCTGCACATACGTCTGCCGTCCGCTGTCGCCACCGATGTAGTGAAACGAGACGGCGTCCGTGTCGGCGCTCACCCGGTAGCTGACGCCGCTCTGCGTTCCCAGACTGAAGTCGTGCGCGTTCTTCGCGTCGATCTGGCACACGACCACGTCCGTGCAGTTGTCGTTCGGCTCGGGAGCCGTGAACTTTGTGCACGGGTTGTAGTAGTACTTGAATGTTGTGAATCCGTTGGAGGACGTGGCCGTGAGCGGGGCTGCAGGATTGTCCAGGTCGTGCAGCGAGAACGTACCGGCGCCGTCCGCCAGTCGGCAAGTGCAGTCGTCCACGCGCTCGCACGTCACCGGCGGACTCAGGCAGGCGCCCGGACAGGCGCACACGCTGCGCATCTCCAGTTTGAGCAGCGATGATGTCGGCTCGTCCACGACCAGCACCTGCGGGTAATGGCGCTGTCCCTGGTCGCACACCAGCTTGATCTCGGTGCTCCGGCTGCCGTCACGGCTCGTGTATGACAGCGTCACCTGGCCAACATCCAAACTGTAGTTGGCCCTCTCCGCTATGCCGTAGTCTAGGTAGGCTCCCTGGCGCTGCATGCACACCGTCACGTCACGACACGGAGTCGTGCCCGGACCGACATCGATGCCCGTGCACGGGTTGAGCGTCACGCTGAACTCGTCCGTTTTCACGACCAGCGGCGCAGACGGCTGATTCAAGGAGCGGATGTTGATGAGCTGGCCGTCCGTCAGGCGACACGCGCACTGCGCGCTGCCCTCCGCTTTGCACTCCCTGTGGAACTCCTCGCATTCGCCAGGGCAGGCACAGCGCGTGCGCATCGTGAACTCGTAGCGGCCCACCTGCGATTCCCGGACGAAACGGAAGTCGGGCACCGTTGCCGCTGTGTCGCAGATCAATAGACCAATCCCGAAAAGATTGTCTGGGTTCGTGAAAGGGGGCACGCGTGCAAGCCAGCACGTGTGAAGTGCATCGTTTTGTATTCAGTTTGTGTGTGTCAGCTCATGGCGGAGGAGAGAGAGACTTTTGCTCGCCGAGCTGAAGCTAAAGGATTTGATGGAGTCCTGCCAGCAGCTAGTCAAAGGACCTTCGGTACCTTAGGCAGACCCTGACGGAGTTTGGAGGCCAGATAGCTCTCGGTGAGGAGAGAAACATTCGCGTGGCGATCGACTCTCCGTAAAAAATGCAAGCTACATAGCGCCGACATACTGCAACAGCTACGATTTCAGCTAACTTCTCGATCTGCTGCTTCACAAAGTTCAACTATTTACAAGTCCTGACTGTTGTAGTCTGAAGCTGGAGTCTCATCGCCCACCTACAGGTAGCTTTTGGAGCTGATGGATTTCCCGACTTGGACTCCTTCCGCAAACTCTCGCAACATTACTACAGTGTATGCTGTGTTTCCGCACGCTCGTGTCGACATGTCACCTATACTGTACATGTACCGGGTCGCGGAGGAGCTTGACGACCTCCGCTGACTCCAGGTTTCCGAAATACTGCCGTCGTCTTCGTTGATGTCGCTGGTGACATTCTCCCCTTGCAGGACGTGCACATAGTTGTCGTCCCGGGGGTAAAGACTATGTTGTCTTTCGAAATAGTTCTTCATCACGCTCGCGCGAATGATGTTTCGCATCATGAACTCGTTCCGACGGTGTGATACGGCGATGGTCTTTGGCGAAAACGATATCTTCTTGTGTAATATAACATTGATCAGCTGCAGATGAGTACAGTCACTTCGTGGTTGATCCTATAGGAGGGCAGCTGCCAGGAAAGAGGCAGGACTCATCGAAGACGAAGCGCTCGCAGCAAACAATAGCACTCGAAATATCTCGTAAGATTTAGGGCCTATCGCTTTGAGCCACAGCGCTCACAGCCTTGCCTACTTCATCAAAGTGAGCTCTACATGTTCGTTGACCTCTTCACACTACACAGAAGAGCGAAACAAGGATTATGTCTTAGCATTTCCACTCCGACAGCAGACCATTACCAGTGCGAGAGAGAAAACTACAAAGGGCTTTGCTTTCTGTCGCATCGTCTCTCTTGCATGCAACTAACGAGAAAACCGTGCACTTACCTTCGCATTCACACGCGAACTATCAAACACGACCTGTGCCGCATGCTGATCAGGTAGTGCCATGTATGTGTTGTACAGTGTACTCTCAGTTGACATGCCCCCTTTCGAACCCAGACAATCTTTTCGGGATTGGTCTATTGGATACGAGTCATCCGCACCGCGCCTGAGTCCGTGGTCGAGCCCTCGTAGTGCAGGTAAAGCTCCGTGCCATTCGACACAAACTCCGCTGAGCTTTGGTTGCCGAGATTGTAGAGTCCCGGTACAATCTCCTGTTGAGTATCGCGTTGGCACATGGCAACGTTCACACACTGAGTGCCATTTCGCACCGTGAACGGCAGACACGGATTGTAAGAGTAGCGGTACTTGCCCATCGGTGCCGTTATGTTCACGGCCGGTGTGCCATCACCGCTGGCTAGCGCTCCCAGGCTGATCACCTTGCCGCTGGCTGAGTCTCGGCACGAGCAGGCATCCAGCTTGGTGCACGCCGAACGCACTTCATCACTTGCGAACAACAGTGCGAGAAACACAACCATCTGAATGAGCGGCGTCTCCATCTTCTTCAGACCTCTTCGACACCACTGTTCTCTGATAACGGCCTTCAAAGCTTTTTGAGAAAGTTCGCTGGATCACAGGCAGGGAGAGAGAGAGGATTTGTTCCCAAACCTCACCTCATTCGTTTGTTATCTTTCTTCGATTCCAGAAGTAATCATCGAAGCAGACGAAACGACGGAGTATCCCGTCAGTTGAATGCCTAGCGCCTGCATGGATGCAACCGACTCCTCTTGACGTCGGGATGCTATGTAGATGTCTACCTGGTCTACATGTCAACAGGCCTACTGTACTACAATCATGTTATGTATGTACATCATAATAATTATTATTATCATTATCAGGTAGTACATGTATGCAGGTCTCCTCGAGGCCTCGGCCTTGGTCGATTCAAACCTTTCACGTGAGAGGAAGCCACAGAAAACTGACGATCGATGTGTCAGTAGATCGACGTGACAGTAGGTCTACTTCACGGAGATCATGTCACACCGGACTAGACTACATACTAGACATATACATGTGATCAACGGGATCAGGTGACGGGGTAGAAAAACTCGACGACCACACGCATAATAATTAATATGCCCGGATGCGAAGGCCATTCACTCTCTGCCATGGGCAGTCGCTGGGCTGAGAGTCGGGCACGGCTTGGTTGGTCATGTGTTCACACTGCACGGGGTACGGTGGCTGCTGCACATTGTTTCGCCTCTGCAAGCAGGGTATCTTTGGACCGGATTACTTTGGGCACAACCGTGGATCTACAGAGTAAAACACCTGTCTAAGACGACCGCTCAAGGGACCTTCAAAACGTGGTCTCTGTTACCAGGTGGTCTTCTTATCCAGGGTCATTTGACTGGAAATAGCATCTCTTGGTCCTGGTTGCAGTGGTCTTCCACGACAGGTGGTCGCCTTATCCGAGTGGTCGCCTTGACAGGTTTTACTGTAGTACAATGATGTACAGTCCTGCTGAGTGAAATCCAGTCGCGGGACTCAAGTCAATCGTTGTGTCAAAAACCGAAATGCTAACCATGTCTTGAAAACACACACAAAAACGGTACAGGCCGACAGCCGAAGTTAGCGTGAACGGTAAAATCCTAACCATGTCTATTGTATCATGATCGATGCTTTGATGAAAGAAAGTCATAAAGCCTCTTGTACGGGCAAAAGCAACACAATGATGAGAAACCAGGGTATGATAGGAACTGATAATATTAAAAATAGTACACAGGTGTGGAAAATATGTCTCCGGAATGGCGAGAGTCACACTAAAACACAATGGTTTTAGATCCGGCTTTCAACCACTGCCAGCTCCCTGAGCTCGTTAGCTGGACGATGGTATGCCGACCGAGACCCACGGACACACATGACAGCGGACCGGAGCAGCGCGAAAGACAGCCTGCAGCGCACATATGCAACATGGTGTGCATAGGGCATGCTGGAATCAGCCCTGGCAAGCAAGCCACAGAGGCGCTTAAGGAACCTTTCGCATTCAGGGGCGGCAACACCAGAAGTTGACAACACCAGCGGGCTGAATGTGCCACGATCCACATTGAGGATTCGCTCTCCGTACTGCAGCTTCTTCTGGCGCTCGTGCTGAAGCAGTAGGGCATCCAGTGGTTGGGCTGAGTAGGACGCCGCATCAGGATGGAAGACGCGTACATCAAAGAAAGCATCCTGTGCTCGGGTCCAGAAGCCACGGGCACGGACATCAGCGCGGGCATCCTCGGCGGTGTTTGTCGATGCAGCCGTAAACACCTCTCCAGAGAGCGGGGCTAGCTGAGGCTCGATTGCCACTGCGTGGCAGACCTCCGTGAGTAGCTCCCCTACCATGTCACGGACTTCGTTATGGCGGATTGTGGGGAAGCCACCCCGGGGGCAACACATGGCATGAGCAGTGGAGAACAGAACTCCGCAGGCACACTTCGTGGGGACATCGAGGAGAGGCCAGTCATACCGCAAGGCAAGGCCGTCCCTGAACTCCTGCTTCGAGAGGTGGAACCCATGTTCCTTGAGAGGAAGAGCAGTGAGCCAGGAAGAGGGGCCTTTGCGGGACAGCTCATCCATACGACGGGCCAAGGGGCGGTCCGCAGCTTCTCGGAGAGCAGCGAAAGAGGCAGCACTAGCTTTCTTGGAGGACTTGGCAGCAGATGCTCTCTCACGGCGGGCTAGCTGATCCACAAAGTCGCAGGAATGATGCTGCCACTCTCGATCGTGCTGGTGGATGATCTCGTCAACCTGGCTGCTCGTGATGACTTGGGAAGCCTGCAGTTGGGAGGTAGCAATTTCTTTGAAGTATGGCAAACCGATTCCACCGAGCCGGCAAGGTAGCCGTAGAAGAGAGAGGTCATCCGCCGTGAATGTGCGTTTCCCTGTCAGAGCCGGAAGGAAGTGCTCCGTGACCGTGTCATCCAGGCGCTGCAGCTGTTCAGCTGAGAACTCCAGTGTACGAAGGAGATATGTCCATCGACCACGCAATCCGTGTGTGAGGGCGGCATACGCCGCATGAGGTTCGGTAGTGGCAATCTCGGACAGTCGCATAAGCTCCTGCTGCCAGTCTTGTACTTTCCCAGCTGTATAGCCAGCGATGAAATCCGGTGTCCCTATAGCGGCACCCAGGTAGCGTGCTCCATCCGTGACCACTTCAATGCCAGTTCCTGCAAAGACACTGTGGGCCAAGTTGAGCAGGTCAGGCTTGACGAGGAGGAGAGTCTTCGAGGCGTTGACATGGTAACCGTAAGGTTTCCCGGTCTCGTCCACATCATCCCACCAGCGTCGAAGGGCCCGTAGCATCGATGCTTTGATTGTTAGTGGTCAATTCTTCTATCCTACTTGAAGTACAAGGAACTTGTTTGTGTCATCTGGGTACAATTGCTTTTTAAAATTAAGAGCGCCACTGTCTTCTCCATCATATCATCCACATGGTTGGTTCTCCAACCTTGGAGTCTATCTTGAGTCTATGCAGTGTTTTTTTAACGCATCCCTGACTTGCATGATATGGCATTGAATGAATGCTATATGGTGTTCTATTTATTTAGATCAACAATTAATAAAAACACTTGAACAGGCACATGATATGAGGGAGGAAGATAATTATTGTGAGTGTTGAAGTGATAGAGACATGTATGTGTGGAGGGCAACAGCCGTTCAAATCACGTTAGTGCCTGTAGAATGCAAAATACCTCGGCATAGTGACACGGCTGAGCTGTTCTGGCGGGAAGTGCAGCATGCACGTTTTCACGTTTCTACGGTTACCATGTCATACTCGACACTAAACACAGCTGCATTGAAAACAACGAGGAAAGAGCGAGTCTAAATTTAAGGAAGTCTAGGAAACCAAAATACCGTTCCGCAATACAGTTATTTCCATGCTTGGGTTATTCAATCCAAAGATGGGCCGCTTTTTAAAAGGCATTGTAAAGGGGAAATAATTCCGAAGCAAAGAGGCCATGGAAGCTGAATGTGCGGACTGATCAATCAAAAACAGTTTTAGTAGTTCTGTAATACCGGTGGACATCTCCGCTACCACTCGACAACGGTTATATACGAGTACGCGCACGGTTGCGCTCAGCCTTGGCCACCGGCTGGGGATCAGCTACGCGCTGTGGGCAGGCGTCTTTGCTTTCCAGCGCCAAGTGGTATGTGCGATAGGGCGACTCGTCGATGTAGCTAAGTACAGGCACAGCGGCGGTGGCGTTACACTGGAGCTGAACGAAGGTTTGTCGGTCATCTCCACCACCTACGTAGTGTAAAGTAACTATATCCGTATCAACGTTGCTCACTCGGAAGCTTGTTCCGTTTTGAAAGCCGAGGTTGAAGTTTTCGCCGAGAGCCTCGATAATTTGACATGCAGCCACGCCTGAGCAGTTGCCGTTTGGCTCCGGAGAGGTGAACTTTGTGCACGGATTGTAGTAATAGTTGTACGAGTTCCATTTGTCCGAGGACGTTGCCTCAAGCGGAGCTACGGGATTATCGAGGTTGTGTAGCGACACAGTTCCGGAGCCATCCTCCAAACGGCATGTGCAATCGTCAATACGTTCACAGGTCACTTGCGGTCCCATGCACCCACCGGGACATGCGCACACGCTGCGCAGCTCCAGCCGCAGCTCGGACGACGTGGGCTCACCCTGGATGGTGATCTTGGGGTAGTGGCGTTGGCCCCGGTCACAGATCAGCTCGACGCTAGTGCGACGAGTGCCATCACGACTAGCATAGTTTAGCATGACTTGTCCATGATCGGTGGTGTAGTTGAAATTGTCCGCAATGCCGAAATCAAAGTAGGCACCAGCGCGCTCCACACACACGGTGACATCACGACATGGTGTGGCTGATGGTCCCACGTCGATGCCCGTACACAGGTTCATGGTGACCGCGTTAGAGCCAGCCTTGACGATGAGCGGGGCACTGGGCTGATCCAGCGACGCCAGGTTGATCAAACCTCCATCGTCGGACAGGCGGCATGCACAGTTCCGACTGCCCTCCGGCGTGCAACCCTCTTGAATCTGTTTGCACTCGCCCACACAGGCGCACCGCGACGTCAACTCGAAATGGTAGTTGACGGCAGGATTTTCGTAGAGAAACTTGAGGGTAGGTTCCACAGCATTCTTGTCACAGATCAACTGGACATCGGATATTCTCGGTAGGTCTCCTACTGCGTCAGTGCCCCTGTATCGGATTGACAATGTTCTGTTGACAGGATTCTCAACAAACACAGCCGTGGACTGGTTACCAAGGCTGTACAGCCCCTCCGTGTGAATGTCTTCCTGACAAATGGCTACATTCTCGCACTGTGTACCGGCTTTCGCAGTGAACGGCAAGCATGGGTTGTACTCGAATAGGTACTGTCCGTCTGGACCCGGCGCCTTGAGCGCCGCCGTCTTATCCCCGCTGGCCAGCGGGCCAAGGCTGAGGACTTCGCCCGTTGCCGAATCTTGGCAAGAACAACTGTCAAGCTTGGTACAAGCAGCGCGCACCTCGCTGCAGCCGACCACCAAAGCCAGGAAAATGATTCGTCCGAGCAGCTCCATTCTAAGGGCTACCTCCAACCACGTCCTGGCAACTGATCTCGATCGTTACCCTCCTTCTCTTACTCTCCCAAACTACAATCTCTGCCAGGAATGGGTATTACTCGTCCTTTTTATTCCACTCACTCGTCGTCCTTCCGCCAGTCAAATGCTATCCACACTACGTAATTCATTTGGACTCCCCTTCGTTGGATCCGTTCCAGAATGCATTTGTCGGTTTTGTCTTGTTGTCACCGAGCGTGAAATCGTTACTACTAGCACAGAGCTGGCAACTGAAATCCGACCCCCTGAGCGGTGGGTTCACATTCTAGCGGTCTCTGTTTGGTAGTTTTACCATCCCGTGTTGGGTCTTTGCGATATGAGCTCAGGGCGTCGGATTTCAGTTGCAAGCACTGTAGATCTACGGACGTACCCGCTTTGACTTGCTTTTGCCGCTGAGTCAGACTCGTGATTATCGGTCTACAACTCTTGATCTAGGTGACCAGTATTGGCTGTAATGACTATGTTGTTCTAATTCTAGGCGTTGGCCGCACGTGTCTACAATGCCGGGTAGACTGATGTACGTGCGCCAGGTCCGAATTCTACCTGGGGCAAACGCCTCACTGGTTTGACGTCCAACTGCGCTTCAGTCACGAGGTCAGTGCAAGCAGTGCAATACCAACCGTAGATCTATAATGACACCAGTGGAAAAGGTTTGATGATGACAGGTATCTTTGACGGCCCGATTCTTTGACTTATTTTCGCAGAGCTAAGACGATAAATGTATTTCCATCTTCCCCCTCCTTCGATTAGGCAGAATGTTACTACTCTCTGCTACTATGCAAGGAGTCGCATGCTGCCTAACATGCTGCTGCAACAGACTGCAGGTGTCAGAAGATGCAATAGCGGATTGTTATGTTGCCTATCAGTCGTGAAAAACTGCAATAGTGTTTCGTCACGCTGGCTACAAGTGGCAATCCACGCAAAGATTACAGGTGTGTCCACATACACATTCATGCACATTATGCAAGAATTCCATCGTTAGACGTGCCATGAGAGCTCTACTGACACATTATGATGGGTGCTGCCGGATTCCTGTTCCAATACGTTTTCAGTGCTTCCAAATCAAAAGGAAGAGCATTATCATGTTGATGGTCACGTGCAGCTGCAGGTACAAGTCACGTGGTGCATCGACGAGTAAGTACATGCATGATGCTATGAATCTCCACAATCGCTCCGCCCGGAAAGGTATCCGGCTCAACAACAACAAAAAGGTTGATCATGGGATGCATGCAAATCCTTAAATCAATTCGTTGGTATGTCCCACCGATACAGTAGTCCCCTATGTTCTCTTGATGTTGTTGTTGTTTTTCTCTTCCATTCTATATGTAGGCCTGTGCACTTTCATAAAAAAAAAATAAAAAAAATAAAAAAATACAACTCTTTAGTTTAAACTACCAGACCAGCTGAAGAATGATAAAACGTAGCGTTCGTAATCCAACGCTACATTTCCTCCGGCATCGGTGTTTCCTGGTTCCACCTTCCTACACGGATTGCCTTTCTCACAATCTTGGCATAATGCCCACTCACAATACCTTCGACTTGCCTCCCCAGGGGACAGGTGGATGACCATGTATATGTGTGAAGATGGGGTGCCAGTCACGCGCATTTGTGCCGATGTGTGCGTGTGTGTATACATGTACATGTGTGTATGTGTGTGTGTGTGTGTGTGTAAGGGGGCTAGTGTGTGGTGTGGATGAGCGCGGGTGTGGGCTTGGCTTTCCCTGGAATCCTGTTGCAATTCTTTCATCTCGTAACCTGGTGATATGAGAGTGACTTTGCACCAATTTGATTTCCCTCAGTCCCCGCACGTACATGTACATGTACATGTACACGTATATCACAGACTCAATAATGTTGAGTCTGTGATGTACGATGAACGTCGCGTCATGGGGTCATGATGAACGTCATGGTGTGCTTCATATCATGAAGCGCCCCATGACGCTCATCCACTTCCCGACACGTCTTATTATATTTCACTGTCAACTTGTGGTCAATGACCAATTGGCACACAAAGTGCGAGAGAGAGGGAGTGGTGATAGCCAACCACGATGGCAGCTTACAATTAATATGTTCTGCTTTTAAGGTGGCAGACCACCCAAAAATTCGCTGAAAAATCGAATTTGTAAATTCATATTGAGTGCTACGTCAGTTGAAAGAGCATGAATAGCTGCAAATTCTCTGAAAATTGTGTCCCTATCTGACCAGCCGTTCAAGAGTTATGGCCGAAAATGTGCCCTTGCAAGGAAAGATTTTTTTGTTGCATGCTGTCATTTGTTGGCAGCACTGTATTTGAATGTGAGCAGACCGTGCGCAACTTGTCGTATTATGGAAACACGCGAAAGTGTGCAGAATTTTGCCCCAAGTCCAAAAAAGTCCAAAAAATCACGTTAAAAAACCACGTATTGGGCTGCACGGCGGCGGGCGAAGACTGATCGAAACCACACAGACAATTTGCCAATATTAGGCGATTCAGACTAAGGCCAAAATCACGTCTGAACTTGAATTTCCATGGTGATGCAGTCGTGTTTCAAATAATCATGCACAATCGCTGATCAAATACGTCTGAGTCGTAGAAACGTCGTCACAGTTGGCCGTAGTCTATAAGAGGGTACCTCTTATCCGGATTTCATGTGACCGCTGGGCAACACCCTGTCCCCGGGGAAAACTGCTGAAAAAATCGCAAAAACGCAAAAACATAGTATGGCATAATTTGCGGTGAATTTGCGGTAAATATGCGGTAAAATTAATATAATAGCAATAAAAAGAACAAATTCTGCAGTCATCGCCACACTACAACGAAGTCATGAAAGTTTACCAGAATTAATTTTCTTGTCACATTCATCAGTGGAAAGTCGTGACTGAAGAGTAACCATGCTGAACAATGATTAAATATACATTCAATGATGTGTTACGAGAACAAAATACAGTGCCAAAATAGAAAGAGGGAAGGTGAGACAATAGCAGTGAAGTGAGAGCTAAGTGCAACGGTGGGTGAAAAACTAATAATTATAACGCTAAAACTGTGTAGTGAGACAAACAATCATGCTGTGCACCTACGAAAACAATTTTAACGCAACTACATGTTTCTTCTGCTTACAAAGATCAGGCTTATGCAAACGAATACAAACAGCCTCAAGTACTTTCAACTGACTAGCATACCGTGCACGACAAAGAACAGAAAAACTAAAATCATCATACACCTGCAGACACTTAGGGTGACACAACAAGTGAAGAAAAACGGCAGACTTCTTACGATCACAATCACCATCTGATTCCTCGTCTCCAACAACCGCAACCTCGTCCTCCGTTTCATCTCCCAACTCGTCCTCAGTGTCGTCCTCCGTGTCATTCTCCTCATCAACACTGATCGGTCCCAGGCTCGTTTGACGTTGTTTCACCTCTGTTCGTTGACTCCTCCTTTGATCTTGATGGCAACTTGTTACCATTGTTGTTGTTGTTGTTGTTGTTGTTGTTGTTAAATCTTGTGTTCCCAGTGTCCTCGCCGGTGCTTGATCTCCAGTAATGTAATAATTCATTGAATAATTAGCCGTTGATCGTCTAGGTCTTTGAATGTTGATTGTGTTACTTTCTTTGTTGAATTCCGTTCCCTTCAGCCTTCTTTCTCGTTGTTCACAATCAGTGCTTGCCTCATCCATATATGCACGTGCCACCGACGCCACAGACTCAGCCCCAGCACCGCCGATGATACATGTAGGTGGCGGTTCTGGGGGAGGCAACGGCAAAGACGGCGATGAGGGCATTACCTCATCACAGCGTCCACTTTGGTCTTGAGCTGAATGTTGTTGTGGTGTGTTATCTTGTGTTGTTATGGTGCATTGTGTTGTGGTGACAATATGCCCATTACCCGACTCCAAGGCTCTCGATACGGGTAATGGAGGCACTATTGCCGATGACGGAAATTGTGCTAACGATGGCTGTGGCCGAGGGTTCTTCGGTGGCCTGCCGAGTTTTGGTCGCAGTGCCCGTGCCGAGCCAGTCAGCATATGCAGTGGGACGTGCTGCTTGATACGTGCGTTCAGATGTTGAAGAGTCCTACCAACGTACCGACACTGAGGACGAGTTGGGAGATGAAACGGAGGACGAGGTTGCGGTTGTTGGAGACGAGGAATCAGATGGTGATTGTGATCGTAAGAAGTCTGCCGTTTTTCTTCACTTGTTGTGTCACCCTAAGTGTCTGCAGGTGTATGATGATTTTAGTTTTTCTGTTCTTTGTCGTGCACGGTATGCTAGTCAGTTGAAAGTACTTGAGGCTGTTTGTATTCGTTTGCATAAGCCTGATCTTTGTAAGCAGAAGAAACATGTAGTTGCGTTAAAATTGTTTTCGTAGGTGCACAGCATGATTGTTTGTCTCACTACACAGTTTTAGCGTTATAATTATTAGTTTTTCACCCACCGTTGCACTTAGCTCTCACTTCACTGCTATTGTCTCACCTTCCCTCTTTCTATTTTGGCACTGTATTTTGTTCTCGTAACACATCATTGAATGTATATTTAATCATTGTTCAGCATGGTTACTCTTCAGTCACGACTTTCCACTGATGAATGTGACAAGAAAATTAATTCTGGTAAACTTTCATGACTTCGTTGTAGTGTGGCGATGACTGCAGAATTTGTTCTTTTTATTGCTATTATAAAATTGTTGTCTCCACGTCGATTATTTAAAATTAATATGCGGTGAATAATATTGATGTGCGGCATTTTTCAGTGAGTATGTAGTGAAATCAATCAGTTACAAGTCTCTGGTGTAAGCACTCGTCATATTTGAGTACAAAGCCGCCACGATGAGACGTTGCTGACCGAACAGTGCACTGTGTGTACGTGTACAGTCTATTTCAAAACTATAGACGCGTACCTAGGCAAAAACCGTTATGCCCGCATCTATACCACATAAAATCTGTGATCACTTTGTGCATAAATTTTTCCAAATTGGGCGTCTGTTATCCAATCCTTTAGAAACTATATGAGAGTAATTGTGGAGCGATCCTGAGCAATATACCGAAAACTATTCTCAAAAAGTTCCAGCCAAATTTGAAATATTTCAAAAACCCTACGCGTCTATAGTTTTGAAATGCACTGTAGTGCAACAAAAAGTTCAAAAAACGCGGGAAAATCGCGGAAAACGCGGTCTTTTAAAAAATCGCAAAAAAAAC